GTGTGTGTGTGTGTGTGTGTGTGTGTGTGTGTGTGTGTGTGTGTGTGTGTGTGTGTGTGTGTGTGTGTGTGAATATGACATACACACACATAAAGACACACTACTAAAGGGAGCATTTCTACTTCACCAAGACCGCATAGGGAGGGCAGAGGAGTTGCTATGGCAACATGCTGTTCAGGTGGTTGTCAGGTGATGACAGCAGAGAAAGGAGGATGGAGGGATGAGATGTCCTGTAGAAAATGAATAGAAGGAAGCTGGAGAGAGTGAGAGAGAGAGAATGAGAAAAAAATGGAAAGGAACAAAGCATACTGCATGAAAATAGAGAGGAAGGGGGGAAGAGAGGCTGTAGCAAGAGCAGTTGGAATAAAAAGATGAGCCAGGAGTAACTGAAGAGCATCCTCCTAATAGGCCAAGAGCACCTTAGGTAAGCTTTCACATATCAGTCAGTCAGTGTCCTTCTCACCATTCAGTCATTGCTCTTACTCTGATAACAGCTCTGTAGGCTGATCTAAGAGGCTCCAAGTTGTGTGCTGGCATAAAAAAAAGGTTTGGAGCAAGGACATGCAGGTGGTCAATGTCTAATAGTGAAATGGCTACTCCTGCAACTTTATGTTTTGGCTTGCTTTCAAAGGCACTCTCCCCTTTAAATAAATGGTAAGTTCAGATTTGTTTAAGTGTGAATTTGCCCACAGGTTCATATTGAATGTAAGAATGTCCTGTTCTTACCCAAGTGATGGGTTGTCTTCATTCTGAAGACAGCTGGAGGTCAAAATGTAGTTTAATAGCTTTATTGACGGTTCTATGGCATAACATCCTCTATCTCCTAGCTGTTACAGTGCAGTGCAAAGAATTTCTTCGCTAGAAACAAACCACAGATCAAGTCAGAAATCCGGAGCTCTTTATGTTGTTATGGATGCACATATGGAAAAGAAATACAAACAATTAAAAAAAAAATTTAGAATCCCATCTGGTAGTACAATGTTTCTCTTCGTTACTTTTCCATATGGGTGGCCTCAGTGTGGAGTGGATTAAGAGCTGCAGTAGCAGAGAGATGTGATACTGTAACAAGAGATGTGGAGTTGTAACAAGAATGAAAAAGGAAGAGAGGTTCAAACGCAGCCTGTCTTCACTGCACTGGACAGATGGATAATCCTCATGTGAAGTGGGCGTGAATGTTAGTTTGTTGGTATTGGAAAGTTCTGCAGATGAGTGTCTAATCAGACTGTTTGAGCAGTTTAGCGTTCAGAGAGATTTCTTTGAGGCCTCAGGCAGCAGTCGGTGACCACCGGTTGCTATGTGAAAATGAATATTACCTGACCAGCTGTGAAGGGTTCTGGTAATCGTCGGTGTGAAATCAATTGCTAAAGCCTTAACCACGAAGGCCTAGACTGGTAAGTGACTTCCTGGTAACCAGTTGGGGAGTGGTTTCTGGAGGTTGCCGTCACTAGTGTGAAATCTGTTGTAAAAGGGTATATGGTGCTGAACCGAAAACCTAATTGCAATTAGTAGTTAGCAGATTCCCAAGGTTGCCCATAGTTTGCATGAAGGTGTTGACCTATCTGCAAATACTTGTAAACTACTTGCCACAGTGAAACTGTTAAAAGTCCAACACAAACCAGAAATGGAGAATGTTGGCTTCAAAGTAAAAGTGCCATCCAGATCCACTGCAGCCTGTTGGTAAGAGTGAGAAAAAGAGAGCGAGGATGACTGTTCTTGATCTTTATGTGTTCATGACACAAGGTTGCTGATGCCAGTAATCTTGCCCATTTGTTTATTTTGCTTTTGCTGTTTCTTTATCTTTCCTTTATTTGTGCAAAATAAAGGCACAAATAGATAATAAAACTAAACCTGGACTCTCTTTATTAATCTACTCACTGCATGTCATGTACTACAAAACATGCTTAGTTCACTCCAGTTGAGACATTTAGGAGATAATGCTGTTTTTTTTCTTTTTTCTTCATAAAAGAGTTATTCTCCCTTTCTTTATGAGGTTTTTAGACAGTGGATGCCAGGGGTCACTAGGCCACAGTCTCCCCCAGGACACAAGCTTGTGTGTCAGCTGGAGGGAAACAAATATCTGGTCCAGGAAACTAGAGAAAGAACTGTTCTTTGATGGCCTCAGTCACCATCTGTGAAAGGTGAAAAAAAGCAAGATGAGAAAGAGAGATACAGGGTAATTCTGTTGAGTATGTTATAATGAGAGAGACAAAAGTAAAAGAGAGCTCAATAGCATGGTATTAGAAAAAAAGAGCACAGAAGGGATGTGTATATGTGTAAATGCAATTGGGTGTAAGGGGATTGTGGGGGGGGGCAATAGTTAGATTTAAAAATAGGCCTTTTGAGAATCATAATGTAAGTGATGAAGGGTGAAGCATGGAGAGAGAGGGAAGTGTTGGTGATTTAGGATAACAAGGAGGAGATTTGTAAAGAGGAATGATATCAGATTTACATGCAGATCTGGAAGCTTGATAAAAAAGATAAAGGGAAGAAGGTGGCTTTGAGGATTGGAGTATTTACCTTGAAACTCAAACTGTCTTGACTGTATTTTAGTAGGGATTCTTTTATTAAGGCTACCCATCCCTACGAACGTAAACACAGGGACACGAGGACAGAGCGTTTGTGAGTCACTGTTACTGACACAGTGACCCAGTCTGGAAGATGTAGGTTACCCTTTCTTGTAGCCCTCAGGTTTCTCGGGAACTGACTCGGATTTACTGATACAAAGCCGGTCTATTGTTTTGTGCACTGATACCCAAACTAAACTGTAAAACATCCACTGTACAGAAATAAAAATCCAACCGCCCATCTTCACCATACGTTCCTTTTTCTTGCATAATGATAACAGTGAATGCATTTTCTGTCAAGTTGCAGATTTGAATGTATTTTATTCGCTATGAATTCCAAACATTAGACACTGTTTCTCTCATCTGAATGACTGGGTGCAAGTGAGCTGACTCAGTGCAGTTCACAAACTTGTAATTCATTTTATTCTAACAGTCTGCATGTTTCCTATAACATCAAAAGCATCTTCTCCGGGGATTTGGCAGGGATTCATTAATCAGACAATAGGAGCTAGATGGTCCTTAATTGTTCCCAGCTCCCCATTTTTGTGCTCTTGTGCTTTCAGGCTCTGCAGAAGTTAGCGAGTCAGTACCTAAAGAGAGACTGGCCTGGAATCAACCCTGATGACCAGAGAACAGACTATAGGTAGGTTTGTGTGTGTGTGCATATGACACAGAAAAATGCACATATTACATAAAATTAGGAGCTGGAAGCTACTTTGTCTTCTTGCATCATCTACAAATTTATTTCAGCTGCAGTGTTCACATGAAAGCTGAAATTATACTGTGCTGGAGTCGTTCAATATTCTAGAAAAAAATCGTCATGGTCTACAGCACAGTTATGAGTCATTATTTACTGTAACAGAGGCACTGAAATAGAAGACTTGAAGTTGGATCTAAGTTATTCTGACAAACAGAAATAATGCATTTGCGACACAAATTTTCTCCCCTTGTGGTTCCCTGCTCACACAGTTTTTTTAAAACCCACATTTTAAAAAACGTGTCCAATATCCAAGCAAATGGATATTGGATTAATTAAATAATCCAGCTGCAGAAACTTTCCAGCACTCAGTGCTTTTTCTCTCCTACTAGGAATGTGTATGCAGTGTGGAGGTCCTATTTAGAAGGTACAGTCCAGGTGAGCCAGTCCAGGCTCAATGTATGCGACAATTACAAGAGTCAAGTATCAGAGCCCGCTAAGACTGTTAGACTGTACAAGGAGCAGCAGCTTAAAAAGGTGAGTTGGTCATTTTTTTCCTGAAGCAGTATTTGTGCTCTGTTGCTGCTGCATCTTTCCAATGTGCTTGCTCAGAGTTAACTTCATGTTGTTCTGCTTGTTCTTCAAACATATGCCTGTTGTCTTTTTCCCTTTTCACAGACAATAGATCAGCTGAGCGGCATTCAAGCAGAGCTGCAGGAGTCAGTGAAGGAGTTAGCCAAAGCTAAGAAAAAATACTACGACTGCGAGCAGGTTGCCCACGCTATACGAGAGAAGGCCGACATCGAGGCGAAGTAAGTCTGCCGCAACACTGTGCACGTGTGTGTGTGTAGGGCTTTTCAGGTAGTTGCCAAGTCAGTTTCAGTGAGGGGATCTGGTGTCCCTGTTATGCTGTGGAGGGCGCATATTTGCCTGGCATCAGTTGGGTCCACTTGCAAATCAATACAAAGCTGTTCTAATTTTTTATTGTCTTTGATTTTGAGCGGTGCAGTTACCAGATTTAGATGAAATCGGTTGCAAAGAGGATGCTGCACCAAAAACCTCTTTGGGATTGCTTTGATTGCTTGAGGGTTGTGTTTTGTTTGCATTGAAGACACTGATTTCTCAATTCATCTTATTGATGTGACCAACAGATTTCAACCAACTATTACTTTGATGGTTACCATTCAGTTCAATTCAATTGTATTTATCTAGCACCAAATCACAGCAACAGTTGCCTCAAGGTGCTTTATATTTTAAGGTAAAGACAATTATACAAAGAAAACATTCATACACTATATTGCCAAAAGTATTCACTCCTCTGCCTTCATATGCATATGAATTTGAGTGACATCCCATTCTTAACCCATAGGGTTTAACATGATGTCAGTCAGCCCACCCTTTGCATCTATAACAGCTTCAGTTCTTCTGGGATGGCTTTCCACAAGGATTAAGAGTGGGTTTATGGGAACCTTTGACCAATCTTCCAGAAGCACATTTATGAGGTCAGAAACTGATGTTGGATGAGACGGGCCGGCCCGCAGTCTCCACTCATAATTCATCCTAAAGTTGTTCTGGCGGGTTGAGATGAGGACTCTGTGCAGGCCATTCAAGTTCTTCCACACCAGACTCACTCATCCATGTCTTTATGGACCTTGCTTTGTGCACTGGTGCGCAGTCATGTTGGAACAGGAAGGGTTCATCACTTCATGGCTCAGTTGCTGTCATTTCCAGTCGCTTCCACTTTGTTATAATACCACTAACAGTTTACTGTGGAATATGTAGTAGTGAGGAAATTTCAGTGCTAGGCTTACTGCACAGGTTGTGTCCTATCACGGTACCACTCTGGAATTCACTGAGCTCCTGAGAGCGACTCATTCGTTCACAAATATTAGTAGACGCAGTCTGCATGCCTAGAGGCTTGATATTATACACCTGTGGCAATGGAAGTAACTGGAATACCTGAATCCATTGATTTGGGTGAGCGAGGGAATACTTTTAGCAATATAGCGTAGATTGCGCCACACTTTTTAGCTTTAGTTCATTTCTGTGCAACCTACAGGTGACTGCAGCAAACTGATAGCAACGAAAGACATTGCAAGGTTTTCGGTGTAGCACCTCTTTGAGACCCATTTCACCTATTTACTGCCTGTGGGTCACTGAAGGATGTTTAGGCCTGTGTGAATAAAGCTCAAGAGAGCACTTTACACAACCGTGTATCATAACACCAAAATGAGAGAAGAGTCCTCCTAAATATCAAGTCACACCCAAAGTCTACTGGTGGTAAATCCTGTCTCCCTACACTTGTCTTACTTAGAAACTTTATGTTGGATTTTTCTTTAATTTACCACACTTCTTGGTAAATATATAAAAATGGTGTGACTAAACAGATGGTCTCCATGGTGAGGGAGAATGCAATCAAGAGAGTGAAGCTGGTTAACCTCATAAGGAGAATGTGTGTGTGTGTGTTTCTGTTTGGAGAGAGATAAAGAAAGGGAAAAACATTGTCATCGAGGATGAAAGAAGCAATCAGTCATAAACATACACAGGTGTTTGAAAGAGAGAGAAAAAATACAGACGAAAAGACATGAAAACAACAACAGAGGAACAGTAAAGAATAGTGTGGAAACATTGACTGACTTTAGTTTTGATGAATCAGCTAACCACATCTAAACGATGTTAATTTGATATTATTAATTAATTTGAAGCATAGCTCCAGCAGATATATAGAGAGTAATGTTGATGTTGATTGAAAGCACTTTTTTCCTGTGACCCTGGTGTCTGTCCTTTACTTTTTTATTACCTTCCAAGCTTAAGAGGCTTTCTGATTGAACAGCCACCTGACCTGTTTCTGCTCTAAGAATTCAAATCTTGAAGCTTTGCAGTCTCACAATTAGTTCCAGAGTTTGATCTGGAGCTGATGAGTGTTGTTTTCCTCCCATCCCTTGGTAGCAGTAGCTATGGTGACATTTTCACTTCATTGAATTCTCAACCCTTGGTTTGCGCTCACATCGATTGGCCAATCTACTCTTTTCTGTTCTCCATCGCTCAGTAGAAAGTAGCAGCGATGGAAATAACTGTATCGCCTGTGTGCCATTATTGGAGAGTATGCACATGCGTGTGTGTTTGAGAGGATAAAAATGGCGAGGCACAAGGAACACACAGGAATAAATTGGTGTGAATGTTATTTTTAACAGCACTCGGGGTGTAAAGTAGGACTTAAGTAGAAGCATTTTACAGGTACTCTCGCGCGGGGAACTGGCAGAGAAAATTACACACTGAAGCATTTGCATCGGCGAGTGTTAGATTTAATCGAAATAAACATGCTTTTTTTTAATGTTTTTGCGCTCATGCGCACAGATACACATGCCGGGAGGAGACAGGCTCTCTCTGTCATTGATACAAATGAGTGTCTGGATCAGGCTCACATTCATCACTGTCAAGTCTCGCTCTGCTCAGGCCAGGGTTCGTCAATAAAGTCTGGTCCGAATCAGAGGATGGAGATGTGGTAGAAATCCTTGGATCTTCCCTTCTGTCGTCTTTTACTTGACATGTTAAATTTAAAAATGTGAATACACAAAAAGTTTACAGTGTTTAAAAAAAATAAAAATAAAATTAGATACTTATTATTGTTTTGTTTTTTGTCTTTTTCAGGTCTAAACTGGGTCTTTTTCAGTCAAGAATTAGTTTACAGAAAGCAAGTGTGAAGGTAAGAACCTGAAACATAACAGCGGCTTATTTAGGCAGGGCTTTCAGATGTATTACTTTGAACAATTATTTAAAAACAAGTAGTAACACTATACACATTTTTTCTGTCTGTTTTTTGAAGTTGAAAGCAAAAAGAAGTGACTGTAACTCAAAGGCGACACAGGCCAGGAATGACTACTTGCTAACGCTAGCTGCTGCCAATGCTCACCACGATCGGTACTACCATACAGATCTGCTGCACTGCATACAGGTAAATATAGAAAGATGAAAGAAAGGAAATGAATGAGGTAAGTGCTGTGAAAGTGAAAACACAAAGCCAACATTAAAGACTCGAGATTTTAATGCTGTTGCAATATTTTGCTTTACTAGATCAAGTACTGACTTAAGAGCCTCCCTTGGATTATATCCGGAGGGATTTTTTTTTTTTTTTTGGACGGGAATGAGGAAGCATTTTTCTGTTTTCAGAATATAAATTGGAGAGCTTTGAATCTAAGTTCCGTTTTGGGAAAATGTGTTCCTTTCATGAGTCCACAAAGTCAGACTCCCATTCACTGTCAGTGAAATAGCTGGTAGGGAAATATCACACACGAAAAAGTGTTGATTTCACAGTTTTGAGTCTTCAAAGAAAGTCGCAGCGTTGTGCGGATTTACGATTTGAAAGGGGCTTATGTGAAGAAAAGTGAGCCATGCTAATGTCAACTTAAACCAAATCATCGGTGGGCAGGAAATTATCATTTTCAGCTGATGGAATATCAAAAAAGACATTCTTTTGTCTTTGGTCTTTTATTTTAAACTGCTAAGATGATTGAATACAAAAGGTGGTTAAGCCCAGTCTTAATCAGACACAATAATATCTTGCTGAGCTGTTTCAGTTGTGATACTGCTTTAATTATGATCTGTATGAAAATACACAAACAAAAATCCCAGTCTGTAATTCACTTACAGCCTAGCTACTCTGTTGTACAAACATGGGCTAACATGCTCACAGATACAACACATAAAGTAAAAGTCTCGAAACATCATATGTTTCCTTATATTTTGCCTCCAAAGAGCCAGAATTTCTTGGAATTTTTAAAGTGTTCTCGAGCAATAGTTCTCCAGGATGTCTGAAGGTCTTTTTCAAGTTTCTCTGGCTGCTTTTTCACAAATTTTCAGTCCATTACTTTTACTTGACCATTTTCATGAAACAATTCAAGCACAAAACAGAACCTAACTCAAGGGATGAAAAGAAACCAATTTTTACATTTTTTAAGCAATTTGTTACTAGTAGTATGTCACAAAACATCATTTGTTCCAGTTTCTTGTGTTGAATCTATTAAAAATGCCAAAGATAACACAGACACGTTAGAGCATTTTTGCTCTAACAAGTGATTTCCAGAGATCTATTAGATGAAAACTTGGCATATCTCAGCATGGTGTGTCAAAACTGCCTATAGCAGATGAACAGTATCTGAAAGTTATTTCTTAAAGAAATGTGAAAAATCCAAACCCAGGACCTGAGAGATGCATCTGACACTTCAATTGGTCTATTCTCTACTGTTCACTAAAGCCTCAAAAGAAGTGTCTCAGTAGAAAGGGTGGCTGTCAACAAACATTGTTAAGGAAGGGAGAAAAAGATGTGCCAAACTTCACAACAACTGGACTGAGAATCAGTAGTCCAGAGTGGAAAATGCACGACAAGTGAGTGTCTACAGCCATCGGTAAAACTGTCATGGTTTGAAGCTGCATTTCAGCCAGTGGTGTTGGGTGTCTTGTTAAAATTTGTGGAATTATAAACATAGAAAAGCATAATGAGATTTTAACCCACTGTGCAGTACTATCTGGAAAGCGTCTGATTGACAATTGCTTAATTCTTCAGCATGAAAAATCCTCAGGCGTGACTGATTATGGTAGTTCTGTTATAGACACACATGTTGGTCTGTTTTACATCTGCAGCTTTATTGCTCTTGTTTTTCTCATTTGTCTGACCATCAGTTAAATGGTATGTACTCAGGATTTCAATAGTATTAAATAAAATTTAAGTTTTTTTTCTTCTGTTTCTTGGCTTTTGACTCCTTGTTTATTTCTTCTCCCATCTTCTTTTCTGTCTTCTCTCCTCACTCTCGCATGCTCTGCCTTAGGCGTGCATGAGCATCTATACTACGAGGCCATTCTGAATAATAGATCCTTAGCTTCTTGTGACAGAAGGACAGGACTGCAGGGAAATATGCACATACACAAATATGCGCATGAAAACACACACAGAGAATGAGGGACATTGCTAGAAGGAAGCAAGCTGTCTGTCCTCCCTCTCCTTCCTGTGCTGATTCATTTGTGGTGTTTACCTGAAAATATCAGCACTTGTGAATGTATGAGTTCTCTCTGCAGTTCAAGGAAGGCGTGAAATCTTTTCCATGAATGCATTCCTGTATGCTTTTGGGGCCTTTTCATCTCCATGTTCAACAGATATTGTAGTTATCCCATGAAATGTTTGAGATTAAATGAGTTATAGTGGTAAGAATCGGCTTCCTTCCTTCCTAGGTCATCTGAGAAAAGAAAATGATTAAGTGTGAAATAGATGACTGAAGGATAATAGAATAGTTTCTCTGGGGATGATAGGTGAGGAGACTTGTAATTGATAGCCTTGTTTAGATCAAATCTTCCCTTCATAAATACTGACTGTACTGAGAGTTGTAGTGAGGCTGCGGTAATAACTTAAATCTTATAGGTGAGCCGTCCTTGTCAATGCGACAGCTGTAGTGAAAGGGCAGAGGAAGAACCGACTGCTCAACATCTCCCTCTGCTGTCAGCAGTATATGCTGTTATTAATGTCGGTCTTTAAAGTTGCCGGCTAGACATTGACACACACAACCACACACCCTCACACTTGCACCTCTGCTGCCCCGTCTGCTCCCCTGTGCTGCCCTTATTGTTCCAACTGATGCAGTCATTCAACCCAAACACAGACACACACACATAAACACACATCCACTGGCCATGGTATAGGGACGGACGGGGCTTTTTCTGGAAGCTGACTCACTTCATTTCAACACTACCGTAAATGGATGAAAAAAGGAGGGCAGGAAGAGAAGAAAGGGGGAGGAGGAAATGACCAGAATGATGAGGGAACATTTAGAGAGAAGTCAGCCAGCAACCCACCCTTAATGACATAATGTCCTTGTCAATATCCCATTGTTTTTGAGGCTGTGTTGTGTGTGAATGCTGTGGGTTGTGGGTTTTATGTTGTTTTTTTAAATGTGTTTGTCTGTATAAGAAGGAGACAGACGTAGGTGTTAGCTGGAGGCTGCAGACTTGGCCTAAATGATCCGCTGGTTAGAATAGTATGTGCACGTTTCTGAGACTTTGGCCAGAGGAGTGCGTGTATGTGTGTGTCTCTGAGCATTTGATCACTGATGTCTGTGTGTGTGTGTGCCTTCTCTGTGTTTTGTTGAATTGGAATCTGAACCCCTTCACCTTCCTCTGCAGCTGTGAGAACACCATCCAAAGAACACACTCACATACTCACTCACACACACACTCGTGTCCCATAAACACATTTTTTTCAGTAAGTCTCTCTTTTTTTCTCTCACCCACTAATACCTTTTATACCTTTTCAAAATGCTCTCCCTTCCCCTCCGTTAGCCCCGCTCTCTGTCTGTTTGGCAGCGTTGCCTACAGCTTGGCAGCAGTATCCCGGCTGCCCATAGAAAGGCTGTTCACTTGGACTGCATACTTCATTAAAATGTCTTTATATCTGTGCATCAGAAACGCTAATGTTAACAGTTGTTAAATAAAAACATCTGCGTGGTTTTGGGCCTTCCTGTGACTTCGTTCCCTCCCTCTCACCTCTTTATATTTTCCCACCATCTTTCTCTTCACTTTTTCACCTCTTCCTTTTTTAGTTTAGTGTTTTTCATAAAATCCTTTTTAATGGCCCATGGAAACATGCCATATACTGCATTTAAAGTTATAATATACAGTACGCCATGGGAGGCGGCGATGCGAGTGAGGCGTGTTTGTTTGTAACAGAAGTGGGCTTTGCTATGCTGGACTCTATTTCTGTTCAATTTGACTGTATGTATTTTGCATGTTTTGGGGTGTGTTCTAGTGAAATTTATCATAAAATAAAGCTTGAAATTACCTTCCACACAAGACGTTTCCATTGATTTAGTCCTGCTACACAGTAGCTTATGCAATAACAGAAACAATCATTAACAGAGGAAATTGTCCCACCCAACAAATGCAACAAAAATAACACAAAAGCAAGGGAGCTGTCAATCAGTTATAGTGTAATCTATGGACTATGGACCTCAAATATGATTTTTTAAACATAGATGTGCATCAGTAGATTATGTAACAAAATCACAGTACATTTATGGCTATCTAAACACAAGATTTAATTTGAGTTTACGACAAACTAGCAACGCTTATTCACATTCTGTTCTCTTTGTCTATTTCTTAGTGTCTCCTCCTGATTCCCTTGTCCTCTCTGCTTTATTATTAAGGATTGTGGAATTACATTGAATCCATCCATGCTTCAGTGTAACCCCTGGTTCCTGTCTTTCTCTGTCTGTCTTCTAGGCCTTGGACGGCAGAATCTATGAGCACGTCAAAGACTACCTGGTGGCACTTTGTCGCACTGAGCTTGAGGCCTCCCAGGCTACACACAACACGTATCAGTTCCTTTTGGACAAATCCACCAGGGTGAGTCAGACAATACAAAAATATGCTTTTTGAATCTGTGGTAAGACATTTCTATGGAACCCACTGAAAGTGTTTTGACATTCAGCAGTCTTTTTCTTTCTGTTATTTTCTTTCTTTAATTTCTTTGTGTCTGTCTGCAGTTTAGTGGTTTGCACAGCCACCTCACAAGCAGATCTTCAGTTCTGTTGCAGAAGTAGGCACGAATCATTTTGGGGTTGTGTCAGGAAGGAAATCTGGTGTAAAAATCTGTCAAATCAAAGATAGAGCTACCTTCTGTTGTGACCCTGTGTGAATAAGGGAGCAGCTGTGTGTACCTTTTGTGTGGCATGATGAGGTTTCTATTCTACTTTAACTGTGCAAGAAAGACACAACACAGTGACTGTTTTTGATTAACGCAGCATGTAGTCACAGGCAAATTGTGAAATGTTAACTTCAGGACCCGAACGCATTATCAGGGGTTATTTTGCATGTTGCCATTTTACTGAATGTCACTGTATTTCAGGATTGTTTGCTCACCACATCGCTTCTAGCTGCTTCCTGTGTGGGACAGTTTCTCACTGGTTTCGGGTCTCATCCTAAACTACACTCACACTAGCTTTGGTTTGAATGTTATGTCTTCAGAAACTCGACTTAACTTCTGAACCATATCCCTCTTGGACCGAAAAATTAATCCCTCTAAAGTCAAAATATGAACCCACATATGTATGCATGAATATGAAACACTCACCCACTGTGGGCTTCAGATGCGGCAGTGGGAAAAAAAATTGTCGTTTGCATCCTCGAAGGGAGCAGAAGCCTCGTCACACATGAAGTTCAACAGACTCTTGTATTGTCGGGTTTACACAGCACCAAACTTGCATGCAAAATGTACTGGATTAAAGATCTCCTTCTCTCTTTCTTTCAGATAATGCAGGAGTACAACCAGCAGTTGTTCATGCAAGAGAATCCGGTGTTTCACAAAGCGCACGACTTCCAGTTCCAGCCCAGTGAATGTGACACGGTGAGACTCACACAGCTACACACAGATCTCCTGGATTAATACTCATGTATCACTAGTACTTAGATTGTTTGTACATAAACCTGTTCACAGCAGGACTGTCACTCCACTTCACTTGCTGACTCACACACACACATACATACACACATACGCACAAACTCCCACACACAGACAGCAGCCAGCCATGTGGGCTTTCCTTTCATCCTGTGTTTTCTGTCCTCTCTAATATCTTATGTGTATAAAATGTTGCTTAAATCCTTAAGTTGAGTGATGAAACAGAATTCATTTACCGCAGTTCTGATTTAGAGAGTCACATTAAAACATCTGGGGCTGAGAGACCTGCCAAGTTAAAAATCCGTGAGCCAAAGCTGTGATCGCCCTTTTTTCTCTTGAGATATCTTTGGGCCTTTTGTTCCCAGACTTTGGGGATTTCTTTATGTTAACAGTTTCAGATGGAGTTGCCCAGTTAACTAATGTCTGCTGACAACGTGAAAGATGCATGAATCGGCTCTGTGTTCAGATGTTGCGTGTCCGTTGGGAGCGTATCTTTCTAGCCTGGGATTTTTTTTTGTCATTTACGCAAGCTAATTTAATCATTTAAATTCAATTGGTTGCTGAATGCTACAAATATTTTAAATTGTTGTCAAGTGATCACGGTCTGTGTGATCGGAATGGAGCAGTGGGAATCATGCTGTCTCCTCTCTTCTCCTCTTCGGGGACTTGTTAAGTCTTTCTGGCTAAAAAAAGAAATTGCTCTCACTGGACACTGTTTCTAATACCTTTCTAGAGTAGTATCCTTCTCTCCTGTGTCTGAGTCATATTGTGCACTCTCCTTTCTCTACATTTCTCTTTCTCTCTCTGGGTTCTGCCAGTTTCTCCTTGCCTCTGATCTTTTGCCTTGTTTCAAGTGTTCTAACAGTTTTCTCTGTAACAATGTTCTCTTCCTTCTTTGTGTCTTCCTGTTCCTGTTCAAGCTTTGCTAACAGTTTTTCCCTAAACTTTTTTTCCACTAATCGCTCCTTGTGTTTGTCTGTCTGTGTGCTTGCACTGCTGCTCTTTGGGTGTGTGGTCTGCGGATGCCTGGATGTCTATTTGTTTGTGTGTGTGTGTGTGTGTGTGTGCCAGACTCTGAGCTCGGTGCAGCAGTTGGTGGACATTGAACCGTCGCCGGTCAGTGCCATGAGAATGACCCTGGCACAGGTAGTCTTAACTGTTGTCAGCATTCCTATCATATTTCTCAGACCATGGCTTATCTGCTTCATTCATACATTCTGTTTATACTGACTGCATCATTTACTGTAAGAAGCTTTCAGTCGGCCATGAGCCAAACAAAGCGTAATAATGCAGTTTAACTTAACACCTCAGGCTGTGATTGATGTTTCAGCATGGCTCTGGAAAAATCTGAAACCTCATACACTCACAGGCTACTTTATTAGTTATACCTTGCTAGTACTGGATAATCAATCTCCTGTTTCACCACATCAAGTGCTCTATTGGATTGCAATCTGGTGACTGTGGAGTCCATTTGAGTACAGAGAACTCACCAGTTCTGTTCAAGAAACAAGTTTGATATTATTTGAGCTTTGTGACATGGTGCGTTATCCTACTGGAAGCAACAATACACAGTTAGGCTGAGGAATTCAAACAATGATCAGCTGGTACTGAGTGTGCCAAGAAAATATTGCCCACACTAACAGTTCATATAAGACAGAATGGATCCATGCTGTCATGTTGTTTACACCAAATTCTGCAATCTGACTGTTGCAGCAGAAATCACGACCATACCAAGTTTTTCCAGACTTCTATTGTCCAATTTTGGTGAGTCTGAGCCTCAGTTTTCTGTTTATAACGAGCAGGAGTGGCACCTGTTATGGCCTTCTGCTGGTGCAGCTCATCTGCTTTGAGGTTCATACGTGAGTTAAAGCAGTCCAGCCATTCTCCTCTGACCTCTGGCATCAAAAGGCATTTTCTCCCAGAGAACCGCAGCTCACTGGATATTTTCTCTTTTTTGGACAATTCTCTGTAAACCTTAGAGATGGTGGTGTGGGAAAATCCCAGCAGATCAGCAGTTTCTGAAACACTCAGACGAGCCAGTCAGGGACCAACAACCACGCTATGCTCAAATCAGCTTCAGCCGGTCATTTTGACTATGTCTTCATGGCTACATGACTTAGCTGTTGCCATGTGATTGGTTAATTAGATATTTTTGTTAATAAACAGTTAAATAGGTGTACCTAATAAAGTGGCTGGTGAGTGTGTGTTCATAGGCACCCAACAGAGAAACCTTTTTAACCCACAAAAAAGACTTTGCCCTCACTGGTAGCAATCTTTCAATTTAAGTTATATTCCCTAGATTTCTAGCGCATGCTCGGAATGACCTGTTATAGTGAGGAAAAAAAAGACAGAAAAATACTTGATTTTTCATAGCTATGCACACTATTTACGAATGTTGTCACTATGGATCTCCTTGCCTGTGATTATGATGCTTTTGATGATACTTTACATTATAATTTTCTTTAAAAACAACTGTAGTGTCAGTGAGCTGACACTTTTTCGACTCAGTGACATGACAAATCAATGTTAACACACATTAAATTAAACTTTGCTGAACTAGACGCCCAAGTATGACATGCTCTGTTTGGCAGGGACTTCTTCTATGATCTAACTCTGATTGACAGGCAGACAGTTAGTCAGCTAGAATAACCTTTATATTCCAAGTATCTTGGAGAGCAGTGTGGGCCCATCCCTCTTTTAAACAGAAATTGTGCTCTAACCAGTTGGAGCACCAAGACTTCATACAGCATGGCGGTGAGGGTGAGCAAAGTATTATTGTGTGTTGGGAATAACTGAGAAAAGCAGCTGAGGATGGGCTCAAATCTGACAGCACACTATGTAGTGATAAAACCCAGAGCTCTTTTGTTATTACTGGAAAAGAGTCATGTCTTGTTAATAGTCATTAACACATCATTGTGCTTTATAAATGATCTGTTTTTATATGGCTCTCAGCTTTGTGGCTTAGGGAGGAGGTTGTTGATTTTGGCCTACAGCAGTCAGCACTTTAACCACAGACAATAAAACAATAGCGTATGGTTTGTTTGTTTTTTCGGTTCGATTTTCTCCTTTTACTGAAATACAGCGGAGGTTAAAGAACTTTCACTGCCCGACTTTTTATGTCCATCTGTCACCGTAACAAGACCGTGAGACACTCTGGGATAACCACACAAGTGGCTGCAGATAGGATTATGACATCATCCACATAGTTGGCGTGAGAACTAAAAATAAACATGACAAATATGTGGGAGTTTCTGAATTACATGTTAAGATTTTATCTGCTCAATGCGACTTTACTTTTGTGCACCAATAGAATAATCAAACCAGAGAATAGAGCAGCAGCTGATGAAATTTTCTTATTTCATATCTAAAAAGGCCACAGTTCACCTGATTGTTACAACTATTCCACCTGACATAAACCTCGCAACGACAGCTGACTACACTGAGGCGGTTCAGCCATTACAGGTCTATTTAAAGAAGTTCTTTATGTTTCCTGCATTTTCTAGTTGCTTCATCACAATCAAGCAATGAAGGCACACTTGCTCGATAGCTGAATACCTTTGGTGGCTTTGGCTTCTCATGACCATTGTCATGACTCATCTGATGCCGTAACCTTATGTCATCTTTTAAAATATCACCATACTGTCATCAACATCCTGAAAGCTGATGTGTCATAGTTTAGTGTAATTTTCCTTTACAAATTTGTTATGGGTTCAAGATGTAATCACTGGAAATTGAATGTGTCCTGATTTCCATTCAAAATCATGCTACGTATATCTTACATGATGATTATTGAATTCTTTGTGTCTGCATGTGTAAGATAAGCCCATAAAACATAAAATATGAAATAATACTAAAGCTAACACTGCATTAAATTTACATGTTGTGAATGTAGACATCATATTGTGGTTTACAAGCAACTCTGTAGTTGTACACATACATTTTCTCTGTGCTATTTTAGGAGAACTCAATTCATTCTTTCGCTTTTAACACGCATAAAAAAGCATAATCATAGGCAGGTATTTGCTGCAGTCTGAATGCACCGCTGCTGCTCTAATGCAAGTTGTGTAGAAACACTGGAGTCCTAGGCACCCAGTTCTTTAAAACTCCATTAAAACACTTCACATAGAAATACTGCTGCCTTGGCTAATTTGTGATACATGTGCTGTTCAGCATGATGAATTTTATTAGTTAAGACAGCGATATGTTTCTAAAAACTGTAGAACAAGAGCAAGAGCCTTATTCAGAGAAAAACCTGTGCAAATGCATTAAATCATAACAAGTCCTAGACCCTTTCTGACATTTTTTTTCTTATAATAATATGTGTCTAAGACAAGAAATGTGTTCAGAATGAGTGAATAACCTGCAAGAAGACTGTATCTAAATGTGTCTGCCTCTTTAAGTCTGAAAAAGGTTTAGATTTTGATGATGACACCATTTTCCCTTATATGTCAGGTCAGTTGTTTATAGTTGTGCCTATTATGGCACCTACAGTCATTGCTAATGTTGTTATTTTCCAATTTATTAAATGATTTAATAAAATAATATTTCACCTTTGTCCATAAAGACATTTAGAGTGCAGGTTGATTGATCTGTTTGGGTGTAACGAGATAATCAGTGTGCAACAGGAAGATACAAAAGTGATGCAGAAAGTCACATGACTCACATGAGCACTAGAATTTATTTGCAGTATGAACAGTCATGTCAAAGGGAGTGGATCTTTTTTTATTTCAAAGATTTTATGTATTATGATGACATCATAATAAATAATCTGATCCTTACCAGGTTCTAAAATTATTTAAATACAATACCTCAGATGAGTACTCGCCCTCATTCATCAGCTTGTAGATCCACCTTTTTCAGCAATAACTTGAAGTAGTCATTTTCTGCATGCCATTTATCAGTCTCTCCTGTCACTGTGGAGGAACTTTGCAGGTATTTGCACATATCTCTTTCATCATTGTCCTGTTGTATGGCCCCATTTCAGCCAAATGTAGTAAGCTACTAGACAGATGGGCTCAGATTTGACTCTAGAGCACTTTGGTATACAGAGGAATTCATTATCGACTAAGTGCCCAGGTCCTGTGGCTACAACACAAGCCCAAATCTTCACTCCTTCACCACCGGGGTGGACAGTGGGTATGAGGTTTGTGCTGTTATGCTGTGTTTGGTTTCATGCTTGGTGTGCATTATGGCCAAACATCACCACTTTGGTCTTCGTCCCAGAAGTCTTGTGGGTTGTTCAGATGCAGCTTTACAAACCCAAGCTGTGCTAACATGTTGTTTTTAGAGAGAAGAGACGTTTTCCTGGCAACCCTTCCAAAGTTATATTTGTTCACTTTTATTATTGTACTGTCATGAACTTTAACATTTAACATGCTAACTGAGGCCTGTAGTATCTGAGATGTAGCTCTTAGGGTTTTTTTGCAGTTACTTTGAGCATTGCATGGTCCGACCTCGGTGGGAATTTGCTAGGACATTCTAGCTGATTGAACTATCTTGAATCTTTTCCAGTTGTGAATAATCCTTTTCTCTGTATAATGATGGAATTGAAATTGTTAAAAAGTGACCATATACATGTTCTCAAAGAGATGGGGAGCAAGAATTGCTTCTTGAGGATCATTGCTGATGTTTTCCTCCTTGGCATCGTGTTACGCACACCGACAGAGTGACAAAACTTCTGCTCTTATAGATGTGCTTACATTTGCTAATGATCGGATAATAATCTGCATTTAATTAGGAACTCCTGGCTGTTACTTAACCCTTGTATGGTGTTCGGGTCTGTGAGACCCGTGTTCAGTTTTTGTCAAAAGAAAAATTAAACAATTAATTATTTTTTCACGTGTAAATGTGTTGTGTCTTTCCACTCACTCCACTTGATTATAACTGATTTATTTATAACATTTTATATAAAAGAAAAACGAGAAGCACATTAATTCATAAATGTGATCTAACAAAGGTAAAGGGAAAAATTAACCATGTTTGCTGTTCATATGTCTTGTAATTGGGATGAAGTAAACATCTGTTGAGTAATTTAACATAAAATTGTTTGATAGTGTTAATTTGGAAAGCCAAAACTCTAGCGGGTCCACCAGACCCACGAACACTGGCTGAGTAACAAAAATACGAACACCACACAAGGGTTAACCTCATAACTCCTGTGGAAGCAGTAGGTGTACTTAGGTTTTCCACACTATTTCTACGTTTTCGGTTTAGCTTTGTCTTTCGAGATGTTTTGTGTTTCATCTGAGCTTGTATTTAAGACCTGGTAAGGATCAGATGATTTTTTATTACTGTTCACATAACTGTAGATGCTGGCAGACTATCTGAAATTCAAATTTAAGGAAATTGAGATGCAGGTTCGTGACATGTCATATTCGAGCCACTGTTCTAATCGAGTTTCCTGCCCTCTCCCTTAACTTGCTGCAATTCTCCTGTGCCTGAATGTAATTAAGCTGTAAATCTCCCATGTAATACACTTGGTTTCACACCTATACTTAGCCAGATTTATGCCCTATTGTTACAGAATCAGCACATAATTAATAGAGATGATGTGCATGAAAAGGTATAATTATAATATTGTGTACTTTAGCTGAGGCTAACAGACTTATTATCAGATTATGGGAACTCAAACCTCTCAGGTCTGTGCAAACACAGCACTGACGACGAATGTCTATACATGGAAGTCTTTGCAAGATATTTTGCATTGATTTCGATCTGAGTTATCACGAGGGAAGCTGGAGTGGGTCATTGTTAAATTACTAGAAAGTATCCTTTTGGTTTTTCAGCCCCTGCTATGATGCATTTATAATAGATAGAAATGAAAAGATCAAATCTGAGTCATATTTGTAAACAAGTAACCAAAAACAGTCTTTTTTTCAGGGTTTCTTTGGACCATGGCAGACAGCTGTATAATTTGATTACTGAGTCATGTTTTTTGGACCACAATAGCAAATAATTATGATTAAACTGAAAAATCTGGCTTTAAAAATGCAAATATGTTTCTATGAAATCAGCATCAGTTGTTTAGAGAAGACTGAATCAAATTAAATGATGTTTTTGTTTTCTTTATTAAAATATTAAGAAATATTTCATCCAACATAGTTAATCTGGATATTGTGGGTGTGTTATTATCAGAATTTGATAGAGTGGCCAAAGAACCTCCCAGCTGTCACCAGATTTTCATTCACATACTGCTAAATGATGCATGATGGGCAGAAGTATGCAACATGACCTTTTCCCAGCGAATCCCCGCCCACTTCAAAGCAGTGACAAAGAACAGAAAGAGAGAAAAAAAATAGAAATCTTTCATGTGAAATAAGAAAAGCTCTTTGTTAAGCGCATGAGCTCCGGATTCACTTTGGCTGCATGGTTATAATTGATGTCATATGTTTAATTGGAAAGCCATGCAGATTCCTTGACTGACCCCGCGTGTTTTCTGTAGTATATATTTTTTTAAAAAAGCAACAAAATAAAGTCACATGCAAAAAGTGCTGTCAACACGCACCTCCTCTTCTCTCACTTTGTAGTACACAGAAAAACACATGTGGTTTTAATAGCAGCTTTTTGTTTCATAAGGTAACAACAGAGCATCGCAACACACACTGTATTAATTACTTGCTATGGAAACAATGTTGCTTTCTTTAGCTTAATTAACAGCCTCTGCGTATTGCACACCTTGAGCTGTTGTTTTTGACACTGTATTTTTGTGTGTTTGCCTGCTGCTGTGGCGTGTCTCTGTGCGGCTGTGTGTGGGATATTAGAGTCGTCAGCTGGAGTCGGAGTCGGGGACGACAGAGGAGCACAGTCTGAACAAGGAGGCCAGGAAATGGGCAACCAGGGTGGCCAGAGAGCACAAGAATATCATTCACTACAAGCGAGTAAGAGGGACACACACACACACACATACAGACACGCTCACAAACATTTGTTGCACGTTTTAGAAATGCAACATGTGAATCTTAATCAGGTTAATTTTAAAGTGCACGCACATTCCTGTTCTAATCACGCTCTCTGTTTGTGTGTGTTGTTGTCAGTCTCTGGAGGAGTGTGAGAGCCACGGCTTGCCTCCCACAGAGCAGGGAAGATTAGATCTGGAGATGAAGATCGAAGACACCAAAGAAAACATGCGCAAAGCCGAGGTGTGTGACTCAGATCGTCAACGTTTACTGCTGTCTCAGGGTCTGTGTTTAAATATAACCCTGTGCGTATGGTGTTTGCACTTTGTTCCCATCTTCATGTAGCTCTCTTTCCCAGTGCTTTATTTTCATCTCGTAGTCTAAAGGCACGCAAGGTCAGGTGAAGTGAAAACACCAAAATGTGGGTGAATGTAACGTGTCAGTTGTTCTATCCTGTCAAAACCTGGGCGCCGCATGGAGCTACAAGGATACAGAGAACAGATGAATAGATGATCCTTTTCCAACAAATGTTCAGAACACAAACTTTGGAAATACAGCGTGCATTTATTTGAGTACTTATTATGGAGCGGCCTGTCACAGAACGTTTTGCAGTATGTGCACTAATGCTGACACATAAAGGAACGAACAGGAAAAAAACGTTTCCAAGAGAGTCTGCCTTGGATAGCAACATGAGATTTATTTTTATAGAAGTAAGAAAAAAGAGAAGGAAAAAATCTGTGATGCGATATTGATATCAAAAATAAGCAGATGTTATTTTCTGTGTTATTACTGTTGTGTACGGGAAGCTTATTTTTCATTGTTTTAATAGGTCTCTAATGAATGGCTAATGTTTGTTGTTCTGAAACACCATGAAATCTGTGGTACACATTTACATAGAAGTACTTAATGTTGCATATCATTGTAAACGAGTTGAAGTGCTGCCCACTCTTTGGGCCGATGTATTTTGAATTGAATGAAGAGTGAAATTGGCCGTATGCTCTCACTCTGCACAGCTTCTTTGACGTAGCAGGGTATATTTTAACAAGCACGGCCCACGAGTTATCGTCACACTTTTGCCAACATAAGATGTGACAGATGATTTATGTTATTCACCTACACAAATCTGAAAAAACTAATTAATTACATCCTTGATGTATGTCATAGCTTACAGTTACATTTCTCTTAATATCCCACTGTTACTACATGCAGGTATGACGCATTGTAGGTTAAAAACAGCTGTAATGTTTTAGATTATTTTATTATATTATAATGAAAATGTTGATACAAGGTCAGATGATCACATATTTTTATTGTTTCTTTGACCACTTTCTCCTCAGGCTTTCAATCCACATGTACCTCTTTCTGTTTCCATCCTCCCACTCTTTTCCCTCTACACACCCTAGCCAGATACTTATTGATTGCGCATCGATTCCCACAGATTGAACCTGTCAACACTCAATGAGATCACTGCACCGTGCGCTACCAGAAGTCTATATTTCTATTCATTCCGCTTTTCAGCTTCATTGCATTTGGCTCATTCTCTATCTAACTTCCTCTTTGGCTCCACACTACCTTTGTTATCAGGCTTTTGCATATTTGGCACCCTCTGCTGTCAAGTTAAGAAACATTTGCTTTGTCGTCATGCATTCGAATAATTTAGCAGCTCTCAGTAGCTTGTGATCTCACTTCCCTCAAAATAATTAGAGAATCTTTTCATAGCAAAGTGCAAACATGTGTCCACGTCACCTTTTTTTCTGTGCTTCATCCTCTGTCTTTCCCTCGTGCTTCCCTTTAATTTCTCTTCTAGACCAGCATTACCTTGACTAAGATGGTGAATATTTTATGAGCTCTTTGATACTAATGGCTTTATCACAGACCTCTTATCACAGATTTATAAAGGGAGTGAAAGCAGGACAAAAGACATTATGTAGGTTTGATGGGAACATTAGCTGTATTTTTTGTATTATTGATGGGAGCATTATCTGTATTATCTGTGAATTAGCTCCATCTTCCTTCCATCAAGCCTTTTCCAGTAGCAATATCAATCACAAAGCCAAGCCAGGCCTATACATTAGTTACACTACCCAAAAATATTAAGGGAACACTTGGTCATCACAGTATAACAGGAAGTCGGTTAGACTTCCTACTTCATATCAGTGTGTCAGGATAGGAAGCATAAACTGGTGCAGGTGAGTGACAACAGGTGTGCTAGAGAGGCAACACTAAGACAACCCCTTATCCCCCCTCGACAGCCAACACAACAAACACTAGGCAGACTTTTGCAACAGCAGCTGGACTACTGAGCAGTTAATTCACAGGATACATGGGTTTTGAAAACAACTTCTCAGGGTTACAGGCTGTTGTTTCGCTTCAGGGCCACACCCTTTTCAGCAGCCAGTAGTGCAACCAGGTATACAGATGTCATTTGTGTGTGATTTCTGTGTTTCGTCTTTCGGGGACTGGCGTATCAGTTTACCCCCTTAAACCTCTCCCTCACCTTACAAGCCGCATGAGTCTCTAGATTCTGCATCCATGATGGGACGGTCAACTCGAGAGGGACTGGAATTCAGGCTCTGCTCGAGTCCTTTCAGCTCAGGGTAAGAGTGGCTGTTCAAATATGCCTGAAGCTGCTAGAGATGCTTACAGCAGCCTTTGAAGCCTGGCCATCTGAGGGTTCATCTGGTAGCAGTATGGGTAAACCGTGACCATATCAAGAGTTGGTCCCTTAGCACGCATTTTTGGGTAATGCAGTTTCCGCATGGTGCCAAGAGTCTGCTGCCCCCTAGAGGGAAATGGCTTGCAGCATGGGACCTGGCATTGGTCTCGCAGGACCCGGGCAGGTCACCTGTTACGCAGGAATATCCATGATGGAGAAGTTATTATTATGTGTTTTTCTTTTAGCAGCTGCAACAGTTAGCGAGCTCCATGTACTCTCTTTTAAACTTGTACTTTATGCTGGAAACTTGATGGCTCTGAAGTAATGCTGTGGCCAAATGTGGCTGTTCTACCCAAGATCTTGACATCCAGCCATACTAATGAAGCCATAGAACTTCAGGCATGCGACCCTCCCCCCTTAGATCAGAGTGGAGGATGCAGTGGATTTTTTGTGTCTATAGATTAGGGAAACACAGAACTTTAGACACTCAGAGCAGTTCTTTATTAGTTATAATAGGAAGAACACGGGAAAAGCTCTGTCCAAGCAGGGATTTTCCCACTGAGTTGTTGACACAGTAAAACGGGTGTACGAAGTAACAGGTGCACCTGTCCCTTCAGATGTTAGTTGTCAGTGTACCAGGGTTATGGCCACATGAGGCGTTCCACTAAGTGAAATCTATGCAGGGGCATCCTGGGCAGCGTCTTGCACGTCTAAATGTCATTAGCTTAGTAACTTAAGTTTTTTTGTGATGATAAGTTGTTCCCTTAAATATTTAAGTGCTGCATTTCTGAGGAATTTGTGTTTTTCTGGCTAAGCAGTCTCTACGTCATATCATAACAAGCAGACTATCTGGTATGCCTGCTTAAGCTTGCACGATTACAATCAGTCAGTAATCAAGACTGTTATTATTTACTGTAGTTAAAGCTGTGGTTTAAAGCCAGTGTTTACAGTTAAAACAACAACTGTTGAAATGCTTATTGAATATAAAACTGCAGGTGAAACTGTGTCGAAAATAGAAGTTGTGAATTTGAGATAAAACATTATAGCTGCTTCTAATTTTAATGTAAAGGCTGAAAATGTCAGCAAGTTTCCTGTTTTTTTTGTTGTTTTACAGTTTTCTATGAGCATTTTTTTTTTATCACAAACATGAAGCAAAAACCATATATGTAAATTTGTTGGCCCACGGTTTTAGCCAAATCTTTAATTAAATATGTTAAAAAGCCAAGGGAGGCTGGGAGGTTTATATTGACAGGATTATGCATTTTAGCTGTGTGGACATGATTGGAAAAAGCAAGGCCGAGTTTTTTTGTTTGTTTGTTTCTATGATGGTCACAAAAAACTATACAAAATGAAACGCCTCACACTTTTTATAGCGCTGTATTTATTTTTCAGTGTTTTGTTATAGTTTGCACCGTTCAGTCTCCACAGATATCCAATTTTTCTAAAGTGGAATCAGTAAATACTGACAGAAAGGGAAGAGTCATGTATTCTGTGCTCTACAGATGAGCCTGTTTGTGTCTTTCTCTGAAACTGCTTGACAGTTATTACCATAACAAGGCTTAACAGCATAACTAAGTGATATGAGTGATTCTTGCTATGATAAAAGACAAGTGCAGATGGTCAAAATATACAATTAAATGCGTTATATATTCTTTTATAAATGATATAGTATGCCCCAGGCTAGCCTGTAATGCGCTGCTGAAGCTGATTAATAAAACAACATGTTCCCAAGATCAGATATCAGGAGAAAACACAGCACTGGGATGAAGGGAACACTTTTGATCTCATTAATTTGTCAGAGAGAGGCACATGGCAGTTGTATTGCATATGCTGTAGGAGATACATACTGTGTGCAGGTCATTCGGACTGAAGCTAATCAGATTAAGATTTTCTCCAATTTCTCTTAATGGAAAATCCTAAATTTTAAAGCTACCAGCTCTTTTATGCTTTGAAGTACAAGTTTAAACCAAAACCTAAAATTCCTTTATTTAAAATAAACGATTATGGGCATTTTTGCTGCTTTCCTATTTATAAGAAGCTCTCAGAGGGGGTGGGAGTGAGAACAGCTGAGGCAAGGGGCTGTTTCCATACGTAGCTGTCGGAGGCTGTTCTCAAACTGCCTCCACTAGACAATCTGGCCTTGTTGACTCACAACATCAGAGCAGGGAGTAGGTTGTGCTCTCAAAAGTATTTCACTACAAGCAAGCAAAACTAACAAGAGTTGGAAAGTTGACTGAGTGGATCTGCTCATATTTTTCTACACTATGTGTATTGACATGTGAGCACAATTGAATAAATAGGGCATAGACATAGCCATGAGTCTCAGCAAACCAACCCAGACCAGTTGGTTTGCTGAGATGATGACAGAATGCACTGTGAAAACTTACAGTACATATAGGGAGTGATTGCAGTGGTCCCCCTGTGCCTTTTATAGTTTAAATAACTCTTCTTTGCTGTTTGTCTATCACAAGGAGCTCACATACCACATTATTGCTTTTATCAGCATAGCTGCTGTTATGTGTTTAAATGCTTGTTTGTAGCACCTTTTGTATAACACAGTTTGACTTCCGTAGAGGTCTTTGTACAAGACGTGAACCCAGAATCCTTAATAATTCAATCATAAATCAATAATTGATTTACAGCTGGACTCCTGATGTTCAGTTCTGCTGGCCAGAGTTCTAATGAGCTCATGTCACGGCGAGGTGTCTGTCTGTTCATCCACAATTCACAAAAATCGCTGCTTCTCCTCAGGTATTGATCAGACTTTAGTGCAACTTGCACACAATAATCAGCCGAGTCTCCACCCAAATTGTGCTCAAGGTCAAGGTGACATTTGTCATTTTATGGACTTTTATGGGCTTTTTATTGTGATGGATGGTAATCCAGATGATCTGCTAAGCTACTGATGTCCTGGTTTTCCCTGCGAGTTTTCTATCTATCTATCCTCCATCTATTTTTCTATTTCTTTCAGTTTTGCTAGTATTGATTATAGATGCTCTGTCTGCCTGACTGTGTGCACTCTATCCACATGTGATTTGCACTCACACCATTGGCTGTGCTTCATATTGACTTACATTAATGATTTAGTGCTGCAGCTTTCCTTAAGGAACAGTTGCTAGCAGTGTAATGGCCATTATTTGTCCCCATCTTAGTCTGGTATGTTTATTGTTCAGTAGCAACAGCCAAGGCTGGTGTTTGTTAGGTGCTGCTAACGGAAGGGAAAAACTGAGGCCCATGAAGTGGCTCAGGCCTTTATTGATCAAAGTGTGGGAGTCTGTCTTGACGGCGTGTCTTTCTGTCTTACTCCATGCCTCTGTGGGATGGAGCTATCAGCTATCAGTCTGCTCTGTCAGCACTGGTGAGAAAGGAAAGAAACAGGTAATGAAAGAGGAAATTGATGAAAACAATGAGAGACAGAAGGAAAAGGAGACAGGATTAGAGATAAGAGCGAGCTGATGCGAGAGAGCTTCAATGTGAATCTCAGGGGTTCCTCTACTGGTGGATATAGCATCATCATCTAGTCTCATTAGAGTGCAGCAAGTTTTGATGATTTGTTGCTTAGGAGACTGTGTAACCCAGTTTTTAAACATTTTGGGGTGAAAATTCAGTTTGCATTGAACAGAACTCGTGCAGCTGTCAAGATGTCAAAATGAAAGCTGTGACATGAGTAGAAAGAGCTCCTTATGTTTCCTCTAACATACAGCTTCATTGTAATTTCCATCTTTTTCTTTAGGACCTTGCATTTTAGTAATCCCATCGTTTATGTAGGTAGTTGGAGCATTATTAGCATGTTTGCTAATAACCAGTCATTTGTATAGTGTTTTATATCATCTTTTCTTTTAAAGATTGATATTGGACTTTGCAGCCTTGGTACATGTGCTTCTTTAACAATCTTAACCTCTTTGCTCTCCAAAGACAATAAAGTTGAAAGCTGAAGCTCGGCTGGACCTTCTACGCCAAGTTGGGGTTGCCGTGGATACCTGGCTAAAGAGCGCCATGAACCAGGTGTGTATTGTCAGTGAGCGTTGGGAAAGCATGCAGGTATGCTGTGTGCTCATGTGCATGTCCCTGACCTGTGTGAAGATTTATTTGATATGCGTATGGTTGTGTTTGCAGTCATATCTTTGAGCACTTTTTTTTGTTGTTGTTTGTATATTTTGTGTGTATGTGTCTGCCTGTTTGCAATATGTGTATAAACCCCTGACTCTCTCCGTGCATGCTGTAGGTGATGGAGGAGCTGGAGAATGAACGTTGGGCCAGCTACACTTCCCACGACCCCTCACTGTCGGTGAGACACAGCCCCTCACTACATCTGCATTGCAGCTATTTTTTGCCAAGCCAGAACAATTAAACTTGTCTACCACTGGACAAAATTTGGACAAAATATTTAAAATGTATATATTCAAAAGTAGTTTTAAACAAAACATGGGTCCTAATGTTACTACCAGCCTGCAATATCTGTTCTCACTTGGCTAGAAAATGCAATTCCTACACCTACAGGGTAAATAACAAACTATATGACAAAGATGAATGTGCCCACCTACTGGATGTTTAGTGCTTTGGCTGTTGGAGTCTTAGGCTTTTTAAAGTGGATGTAATCATATGTAGGAGCTGATTAAGTCTAGTGCTAACTAGAGGTCTGGTTTCTGGGGAGATCAGTCCACAACTGATGTGTTGCATTGTGTGTTTTTCTTTTCATGTATGTATCTCACTATATTAGCAGTGTGTTTGAGATCATTATCACGCTGAAGTGTGAAGCCACTGACAATCAGACAGTTTCAAAGTGGTGTACATGGTGGATCACTATCTGTCTTTTCTATGTTCACCACTTGCTGAAATGCAAACCATGACAGAGCCTTCACCATGTTTTACAGATGGCTGTAGACACCCACTGTTGAACCTTTTTTTTTTTTTATCTCCATCAACAATTTGGACCTGAAATTTGAAATTTGGATTCATTACTCCATCAGACCAGTTGCCACTGATTTTCAGTCGAGTTCTCGTGTAATTTGAAGTACCTCAGTCTTTTATCCCAGTTTCCTTTCATTAAGAAGTGCTTCTTGACATCCACCCCTTCTACCGAGAGCATTTCTGAATGGATCAGCTAAAGGGTCAGCTGCATCTCTCAGCTCCTGCTGTCCAAGGAGCTTTCCTGTTTCATAAGGACACAACTTTCAGATGCTGTTCATCTGCTGTAGATAGGTTTCTTTTACACATGCCACTTGTTCTCTTGTCTTCTACCTGTCCAGTTTGCTCAATTTTTTTAAGGACACACTGCACGCCATGCTGAGTTATGCCAAGCTTTTAGCTAATAGCTCTTTGGGAATCACCTTATTACTATTTTAAGGTGTTTGAAAGCCTGGAGAACTATAGCTAAAGAGCACTTTAAAACGTTACAAGAATTTCTCGCTCCTTGTAAGCAAAATATAAAGAAATGGCTCAAGACTTTTGCACACTTTTTTGTAACTGTGTTTATTGCATTGACACTGGCCTGCTGTACCCACTAAAATGAACACCCTCACATCAGTAAGCTGTATATGATCTTTTGATTTTCCAACTGTCTCTCAGTAAATTCTTCAAATTCAAGCACGGCACTCAATTCAGCACATTCAAAAATGAAATGTTAAACTTTTAACACACGGGCTCATGGCTGCTCATTCTTTATGGTTTCATTATCCGTGAAAATCTCCCAACCAGAGTAGCTCTCCTGACAGATTACTTTCTGAAAGATGTAAATTGATAAATAATTGACCTTGGCCCTGCTGCCTAATCATCTATCACACCAGTTAAAGACTCTTAAAACGCCCCACTTCCTCAGTGGAATACTGATGTAGTTCTCTCTTAACTTTATTTCACAGCTCTTAGCTTTAATGACAAAGTAGACAGATATGACGTCTTTTGTGTATTATCTCATCATGTTTGTGAAAGTGTGCGCAAACTGTATGAATGTGCTAATGGGTCCCAAGTTTTTCATGCTCTGTGCAGAACTCCACCCTAAAAATATTAGACACTTTAGAAATACAGCTTTTATCACAGAGGTATTTTATTATGAAGTATCAAAGTGCCATATATAAACTATACACTGGCTGTAATTCAGCCTTACATGCTGTGTTCTTTTGTGTAGGGATATTTCTGCGTAATTATGTTTGTGCATTTGTATGTGAGTTGTCTTCTCTGCATTAGCTTTACAGGGAGGCAAGTGTGCCAATCACTAGTAGAGTGATCCCACATGGGGCTTTGTGAGGAGACGTGTGTCTGTCTGTCTGTCAACAAGACTAAACATAGCCAGCCTGCTTTATTGGAAGCACTTGACATTCTGCTCATGTGATATTGCAGCTTGCAGCTAACACTAGAGAGAAAGAGAGAGAGAGAGAGAGAGAGAGAGAGAGAGAGAGACACTGAACTTAAGAAAGAGAGAAAATGGAGAGAGAGATGAGCTAAATGGAAAAAGAATGAAAGAGGCATTTGTGCAGTTAAAGGGTGAAAGAAGCAGCAGCAGAGAGACAAGTACTGAAGAATGAGAAAAGTTAATTGGCTGTAAAAAAAAAAGAAAAAGAAGAAGAAGAGGAGGGGTATGAGGTGAAGGAGAAGAGCAGAGATGAGGAGAAAGTCGTGTCAGAGCAGAGGCATTGGAGGTGAGAAAGGTGGGGGTGAAAACAGCCAATAACTTGCTGTAATGTGATTTTATACTGTAAGAGATATAAGGTGTGGCATGTTTGCTCAGACAAAATGGTCCCCACACCTTGAGTCTCCTCAAGATTTGATCACGGTGCACAAACCTGCAGGTCAAATCCAATTTGTAATGAGCCAATCACATGGCATCAACTAATTTCTGCATGTAGATATGGTTAAGATGACCTGCTGACTTAACTGAGCATCAGATTGAGGAAGGAGGCTGATTTAAGTGAATGTGGTGTAAGCTTTTCAGAAGCTGCTGATCTACTGGGACACATAACCATCTCTATCTACAGAGTCTAAAAAGTAGAAAATGTCTAGAAGGGGTCAGTTCTGTGGGTGAAGATGAACACAAACTCAGATGATCAGTCATTACAGTCAAGGTATGCAGAAGAGCATCTCTAAACATACATCGTGCTTTAAAGCAGATTGGCTGTAGCAGCAGAAGACCGCATTTCTGCTGCAGCGTTTGGATAGTATTTGGTCACACAGCACACAGCATAAAAGCATGAATCCCTGCTGGCTGCTTGTGATGGTGTGGGAGATATTTTCTTGTCACCTGATCCCTTTAGTACCAACTGAGCATCATTTAAATGCCACAGATATGCCGTGGCGGACAAAACTGTGTCAACTGTGTGATGCCAACATGTCAATATGGACCCAAATCTCTGATTAATTCAACAAGGTGCTGGAATCACCTTGTTGAATGTATGCAATGAAGAATTAAAGCAGTTATAAAGGCAAAAGGGGTCAAAGCCACAAGAAAGATGTGCTTAATAGTGTCCAGTGAGTGTATGTCTCAAAATATTTTATACTAAAAACAGTCAGGAGGGTTAAAATTTTGAACAATATTTATCTTCTTTTGACGGCATTTTAAAACTTCTCTTGCCCTATTTACAAGATTTGTCTGTTGTAGGCGTTTGCTGAAAACTCAGTGTGGTTTAGATGTCATTAAAAGAACAGACCAGGAGGCACATTGAGTATTCAGGCATATGACAGCAGTTCATCTGACATAGATTTTATTTGGAGAGCCTGGGGAGACTGACAGCAGCAAAGAAAGCTGGGACATTGTTATTAACAGGGTGCAGGAAAAAGAGACAGTATGAGAAGGGAAGGAAAAGTCAGAAGTGACCGATAACAAAGAAAGAACAAAGGATTGATGTAGTGCGAGTAATAATCTGCACAGGACGTGACAGAAACACAATGAGAGCAGGGAGCAGGCTCTCTCCTCGGCCGTTTCTTCATCCCACTCAGGTTTATTAATCTGAATGAAACACTGCAAGCCGTAAAAACCGCAGGCCTCTCAGACAGCAACTGCCTTCATTACAATAACACTTTTGCAGTTATTACCTCCAGGAACAGTAAAATCTTGCACTGGCCTGTCCCCGCTGTATTGGTACATATACTGAGATGTATATTTTGTGGTACTTTATAGGGTTATTACTGGAATACATACTGGCCTTTACTTCAGGGATTAAAAGGAACTGGTCTCTGGGCTAAGCAGCGTATTCTTAAATCAACAAAGAGGATAAGCTTAATGTGAACCAACAAACAAGCAGCCACTAAAGAAATGTGGCCCTGACTGAAGCCTCCACGCCGTAGGTTCTACATGGCTGTGCTTGAAATCACCTTCTCTTTACAATGAAATTACCCTTGTCCAGGTAGTAGTGGTAAATGATGTGTTACATCAGGGGTTTATCATTTAACATGGACACTTATCAATTACTAACAGACCGCAGCAGTGTTTATTTTATGTGGTTCAGACATGTCAGTAACTATTGAAAGGATCACAGGACTGTGTCCTGATGTTTAGGTGAAACACACTCACACTCAGTTTATCTTATCCTGTAACACGTTTTCCTAAAAACGAAGTCATCTTCACGGCAGCACATCACTTAGGATGGCGTGGTTTTTAGGGAACTGTATCCAAACTGCTGAATGGATTGCCATGAATGTTGGTGTGCACATTTATGTGCCCCTCAAGATTCATTTTAACAAAACTGATGTTCCTCAGATCTCACTTTTTCATGCGTTAGCAGGACAAAACAACAAAAATTAAGGCCAGTCCTGTCAGTTTAACTATTACTGTGTTTTTACCAAGCTAATTATAGTCAGTACTTATTCATATGGTAAATGCTACTGTTTTTCTATTTATTTTAGAAATCATGGCTGAACAATATACAGCATCACGGCAAATGTAATGTTTTTATTATGCAGGTAACAGTTTTAAAGAAGCACAAACGTAAGACGATGTTTATATTTCTTCTAGGTAAAAAGTATGCTCACAATCAGGAAAACAAAAAAAGGAGGAAGAGAGGTCTATACATTATTTTTTAACACAAGCAATTTTTTGATTCATCATCATCTCCCTGAGGTCAGCTCAGGTCAGCAGGTCAAAAGGAAAAATGACCAAAAACACCTCAAAATTGCAGCAGCCATGCATCCTCAGATCCAGGAAAAAAAACGTAGGAGTGACATTATCTAAAATACTTAGCAGCCATTTCCTGAAATTAATTGGATGACAATTTTCCAGTACAGATTAATATCAGGTAAATATCAGAGCATTAGATCCAGTCTCTTTGTACAGCAAAAATAAATGACGTGTGTACAAATGTGTTTAGGCTCTTGATACAAAATACAAGACTTTAAAGACCAAATTACACTTGATACAAATTCAATACAAGAGCTTTAACCTCCTAGGACTTGGCGTCCACATATGTGGACATCACATTTTGGGTTATTTAGACCAAAATACTCAATTTTGCTCTACAAGGGCCTGATATCCACTTACGAGGACATTATAGTGCTACTGTTCTATTGAAATGTTAAACGAATATCCTCATATGTGGCTCTCATTTTTCTTAGAAACAAAAATCAGGTAAAAAAAATCTGGTAATTCTTTGTTTTTACATTCATCAGGTCCCAATCAGTCCAAATATCAAAAAGAAATAAAAAATGCATGCCGTGGAAGAGTTCGGGTCTTAGGAGGTTAAAAATAAAAATAAAACATATTAAAAGCCTTTGGTAACGTGTTACCAAGTGGGTAAAAACAGAAAGCCTTCCTCCTAAAACAAATAGTGTTAATGACACACCCATGTCAAGGTGCAAAAACATACCACAGTGTGTGTTTTTCCAACATAGGCTAGCCAACATGGGCAATTCCCTATTTTCTTACCCATTCCTTCAGATAGTTTTGATAACAGTGTCTTTTTTATTACAGAATCATATGTCAAACTCTGGAGATTAACTAAAGTACAAAAGACATACATGTTTTGTTGTGCACCGTTATAGAGTTTACTGTGTCAACAGAAATCTGATGACTAAACACAATGAACTGAGAGAACACACACACACACACACACACACACACACACACACACACACACACACACACACACACACACACACACACACACACACACACACATGCTATTTTCTCTCCCCATCTATTGTTACTGGTCAGGTCAGCCTTCTGTCTGTGATAGATCTTTCTACCAGCTGTATCACATGACTTCCCTGTAAGCCAGTGAAATTCACATGGAACAAACGAGGGAGTGGCTGGCTCATTTGAAACATTAGTCCTGGTACACCTGTGTCAAAAAAGCTACAGTACACACACTGAGCAGGATAGAGAAACTCAGACAGGAAGGAGCGATAGAAAGGTAAGGAACTATCTGTACAGATGGAAAAATGCTACAGGTGGCGAATAGACAAGTCTCGCAGCTGGTTATCGGACGCATAGTAGAAAGTGAGAAGAGAAGCTGGGATCATAACACAGCTGGGGAGCTGCAAGGTTAGTTCGAAGCAGTAGAAATAAACAGATAAGAGTATACCTAACTAGGCGTCACTTGGACAGCAGGAGTTGTGAGCACTTTGACTTTTTTTAACTGGTTTACATTAATAATTTAGCTAAACATCAAAGGAAATATAAATATACTGAGCATTTTACCATCTGGTATCATGTAAAATATGTTAAATGTTTTGCATTTAAACAGCTGTTGTTGTGTTTTTGCTCTTGAATATAGGCGTGTGTTTTAATCATTAGCTTTAAAGGTGAGTGGAGCTTTTCTTGTTTGTCCTTGTACTTATCAGAGGTTTTCATTGTGGATCTGTTTGTGTGTTAAAGGGCACAGTGGACCTGGAGCGTGAAGAGGGTGAAGAGTGTGAGGAGAATATGGAGGTTTTTGACGACAGCAGCTCCAGCCCTTCGGGGACCCTCCGCAACTATCCGCTAACCTGCAAAGTCCTGTATTCATACAAGGTGTGAAGCAGCATGCACACAGTTACAGGGTGACACACACCTGCATGCACACAGCATCAAATATCTGCCTACTAGAAAGGAAACACCTGCAGCACACAGTATTATTGTTGACATATGTATTCCATTTAAATACCTCATTAACTAATCATTAATAGAGAAGTGTTTGGTTATATGGAGGACATCTTAGGTCAACTGAACTCCTCCTCTTGCTGTTTAGATGTCCTGCCAACAAGTTTTTTCAAAACGGTCTCAAAGACTTTAGAGTCAGACCTGTTACAGATCGTCAACTTTTCCTTAATGTCAGGTGTGTTTCCGGAACCACTAAAAACTGCTGTAATCAAACCTATACTGAAAAAGGACAATCTTGACAAGACGAAAATGAACAACTACAGGCCGATTTCAAATCTCCCATTTTTAAGTAAGATCATTGAAAAAGCAGTTTCTCAACAGCTCAATTACTTCTTAAAACAGAATAACTGCTATGATGCCTTCCAGTCAGGTTTTAGACAGAACCACAGCACTGAAACCGCTCTGACCAAAGTGTTTAATGACATATGTCTGAACACAGACAGTGGAAAAATGTCAGTCCTAGTTTTACTGGATCTCAGTGCAGCATTTGATACAGTTGACCACAACATATTACTCAAACGACTGGAGAACTGGGCAGGTCTTTCAGGAACTGTACTAAACTGGTTCAAAACATACTTAGAAAACAGGAAATACTTTGTATCAATAGGTAACTTCACATCTGAGCAGACAAGTATCACATGTGGAGTTCCCCAAGGTTCCATCTTGGGACCCCCTCTGTTTAACATTTACGTGCTCCCACTGGCACAGATTATAAACAACAACAAAATAAACTACCACAGCTATGCAGATGACACACAAATATATATCACAATGTCACCAGGAGACCGAGGCCCTGTGCAGGCTCTTGGTAAATGCATTGAGGAAATTAATGACTGGTTGTGCCACAATTTTCTCCAGCTAAACAAAAACAAAACTGAGTCTTAGTCTTTGGCGCCAAAGAAAAACGATTACAGGTCACCAGAGAACTTCAATCTATACATCTAAAAACCACAAACCAGGCGAGAAATTTGGGTGTAGTGATGGATGCAGACCTAAACTTAGTAAAACACAAAAAAAAACAAAAAAAAAACAAACACATTAAGACAATAACAAAGTCAGCTTACTATCACCTCAAGAATATATCAAGGATAAAAGATCTGATGTCCCAACAGGACCTGGAAAAACTAGTCCATGCATTCATCTTTAGTAGGCTTGATTACTGTAACAGCATCTTTACAGGTCTACCTAAAAAAATCAGTCAGACAACTACAGCTCATTCAGAACTCTGCTGCTCGAGTCCTCACTAAGACCAAAAAAGTGGACCACATCAGTCCAGCGCTGAGGTCTTTACACTGGCTGCCTGTCCGTCAGAGGATAGACTTTAAAGTTCTGATGCTGGCCTATAAAGCTCTGAATGGTTTAGGACCAAAATACATCAGTGACCTCCTGACCCAGTATGAACCTTCCAGATCCCTCAGGTCATCTGGATCCGGTCTTTTATCAGTTCCCAGAGTCAGAACCAGACACGGAGAAGCTGCATTCAGCTTTTATGCTCCTTATATCTGGAACAAACTCCCAGAAAGCCTCAGATCAGCTGAAACACTCAGTTTATTTAAATCCAGGTTGAAGACTCACCTGTTCTCAGCTGCATTTGAATAAAGCACCAAATCCACACTTTTAAGCTTAAATTTCAAAACTAACATTTTAGCTACTGTTCTGATTTTATCTGTTTTGATTTTATATACTGTTGTTTGTTTGTCTGTTAATTAGTTAGTTTGTTTGTTTGCTTGTTTTAATCAATTTTAAATCATGCTTTTTATTTGTTTTTGTTTCTAATGTCTCTGTAAAGCACTTTAAATCACCTTGTTGTTGAATTGTGCTATACAAATAAACTTGCCTTGCCTTGCCTATAAGGTCTGGCTACTCCCTTTTTCTGTCCTTTCACATCTGCTGACCTTTCCTCCTTTCATACTCTCCTACTCTCCTTCCCACTTTCTCTGTTTTTCTTTCTTTAACTCCCGCTGTGTCTCCTCCTCAGGCCTCCCAACCAGATGAGTTAACTATCGATGAACAGGAGATGTTGGAGGTCATTGAGGACGGAGACATGGAGGACTGGGTTAAGGTACCCGATCGCAGTCAAGTGCTGTAGATGTGTATCGCATTTTTTTTGCCAGTTGAATAATTTGATCGTTGTTGTGCTACTGTCTGTACTGACATGATTTTTGGGGCTTCTTTTGTTGTTGTTGTTTATTTGTTTGTTTCTCAGGCACGCAATAAGGCAGGTCAGGTGGGCTATGTCCCAGAGAAATACCTGCAGTTCCCGACCTCCAACAGTCTGCTGAGCATGCTCCAGTCTCTGGCTACGCTCGATGCTCGGTCACACACTTCGTCTAACTCAACAGAGCCAGAGCTGCACTCGGGCTGCATAAACGGAGACACAAATAGTAAGTAACCCTGTAAGCACAGTTGCTGTGAAGGATTAATTAAACTTCATGGCAGTAGTTAAAGGAAAGAGGTTAATTCTAGTTGTACCCGTGTAAATGAGTTTTCACCCATAATGAGGTTATTGTGGGCCACTAACTGAGGCATTTTTCTCTTTACTGCTTCTGTAGAGTACACTGAGTACACTAAGCAGGGTATTATTGGAAAGGGGAAATGTAGGGGTTGCCCACTGAACCTTGCTGGGATGCTCTAAATAAACACCCTTGACCCTAATCATTTCAGTTCATTTACAATACTCTACAAGGGTCTTGAGCAATGCTTCATTTCTTTATATTTTGCATCCAAGGAGATCATTTTTAAAGTGGTCTTGAGCAATAGTTATTCAGGCTTTCCAGAGGTTTTCCAAAGACCAAATATTGTATTTCCATGTATGTTTGCACTTTTAATAAATCACAGTACTGCATGTCAATGAACTAGAACCAGTGCCTTCTGTAAAAATCCTGTCTCATATTCATAGAGAACAAAAAGAGAACAAGAGCGGAGCATTAACCTGACTGTTAACTGTTAACTTTTGCTGTTTTATTTCTGCAGCCCTGTGGGTTGTATTCACAAGTTCATTTAAAAGTAAATTAAACTGGTAGACATAAAGTTTGAGCTGAAATTCAAGACAGCCTTAAAAAAGGAGCTGGAGTTACTTGTACAGGCCGTACCTATCTGGTCATCAATGCAAACGATGCATAACTTAATTATTTCGTACAGCCAGAAACCTGCATTAATCGAGCTTTATTGGTCAAGAACCATTTCACTGACAACAAAAACAAGGAGAGGAAACTGGGTGGTTGTAACTTTTGCTATATAAACTCTTTATTTTATGTTATTTTTTAGTCTTTGCATGCTTCTTTACCTGCCTTATTTAAAACCTTATCTTCTCCTACTGTGCTCTTGCTCTTACTCTTCATCCGTTTTTCTTTTTATTACTTTGTATCTGCTGTGCCTGAATAGTTAGACCAGGCTCATGAGCAAATCCACTGCTGTTTGTATATCTTGTGCTCTCCAGCGGTGTATACCATTTTCTTAATAACAGTAAGGGCCCTGCAGACAAGAAACTGCATTTCCCTGAGAATAATTGTTCCGACGGTATACTTATAATTGTTTTTTCTCCCTCTCTCTCTATCGTCCTTTCTCTCTGCAGTGGTGTACGTGCGTGCACTTTATGATTACGAGGGTCAGGCGGATGAGGAACTCTCCTTTTCCGAGGGAGCTGTGATCCGCTTGTTGAGCCGTGACACTCAGACAGATGACGGCTTCTGGGAGGGGGAGCTGAACGGGCGGGTGGGCGTTTTCCCCTCCGTGTTGGTAGAAGATCTTACAGAGAATGGAGAGACCAGCGTGGGAGGGGCAGGTGACACACAGGTACAGTAACACCTGTACACACATGAATTAATCTCACAGATAACATACAAGTCATCTTAGGTAACAGGACTTACTCTAGACCTGAATGAGACATTTGGTCTTATCAGTGTTTTCTCAGGGGAGAAATACCAAAGACTGTGTGTAGTCGACTGTGCCAGTTTATACCCCTATCCCTTCCTCCTTTCCTGCTTGTTGTCCATTTGATCTATCAGCAAGTCAGAGTTCAAAAACAGTGCATTAGAACTGCCGTGTTTGTGCAGCATTCTGATAAAAAACCTGCACTGCAATCACAGAAAAGAGGTCTTATCTGTGCCACTGAGTGCTGCCCTATTAGAGGCTCAGCAGCAGGAAGGATATGGCCTCTCCCTTCCTATAAGCCTGTAGACATAACACGCAACCCAACATCTTTTAAGTGCTATGCAGGGAATGTTGGTTAAAAAAAGTATCCTGGTCAAGTTTTGTGTTGTAGCCCACTTTGTCTTTTCTTTATTTCCACCACTCTCTGTAGATCTCTCCTTCTTTGAAACTGCCATCTTCTCTGCCACCTCTTCCGCTGTACGACCAGCCTCCCATCAGCCCCTTCACCAGCCCCGAGACTTCCACCCCACCTCCTCTGCCACGTTCCCCTTCCGCTGCTCTTAATGGGGAGCACAAGCTTCCTCTGCCTGCCTCGTCACACAAAGGACCGCTGTCAGCTCACAGTAAGACAACCAATACAACAACAACAACCATGTTTAACGAAAAGTGAGATTTCTGAGGAAGGTAATCGGGGCTTTTAATTTGAAATTTTGTCTCGCTCACTCTGTAGATCAAAGCTCTGGCAGGAGTCCAGTATCTCCAGGATTTGCTAAGACTCAGCCGCCAAGATTCACTCCTGAAGGAGGCCCGGGCAAACTACGACCTGTTAGTATCAGTGTTACTCAAGAAGTGTTTTTTTGTGCACAATGTGTGTGTGTGTGTGAGTGTTTGTGTGTTCGAGCTGTCTTTTTATTTCCTCCCATCTCTGGAAAGCACAGAGGGAATGCATCCAAATTTGCAAATGGATTAGATTTTAGTGGTCAAAGGTCTTTCTGGGTTTTTTATGGCTTTTCCTAGCAACAAAGACCTCTTCATCCTCATTCATACTACGCCACAGTAATTTAGCCATAGATAAACAAAAGACCATGCTGTTTCACTCTATATGAAAACATTCATTCAGCGGGTAGGGTGCACAGACAAAAAATGACATGTATGGCTGTAAACTGCACTTCCGTTTCTTTCAACAGACATCTGTTGAAAGAAAATCCAGGAGATGTCTTGAAAGATCTCTTTCAAGACATCTCCTGGATTAAAAGTGTAGTTGAACTTCTTTACACTGGTAGAAACGGGAGTTTCACTGGTCCGGCCCACATCCCCACCCTGCTGCTTAGCCTTTGCAAGTGGCTGACATCATTGCTAGCATTTACACTTGTGATGTTGTGCCTGTGTTACTTTGTAATTTTGCCACTGAAACACTAGTCGGCGGTGAGGTTTCTCTCTTCAACTCAATTCATTGTCTTCTTCTCGATTCAAAAAAGGCATCAGAAAAAGAAGAGAAGCAAGAAATAAACGTTCACTGCGGGCCGCATCAGCGTGACGTGTAGTTAGATTACAGTGTATGTCACGGCACAGGATTTCACAGGGACTTAAAGAAACTAATGAAGAAAATAATCAGCAGATTATTATGACATATAAGTAACCGTCAATTTTTCGAAGATGGTTTGGCACGCTGTGCTCTGATGACATGTGAAGGATACTTAAGTGTTCGTTAAACTGTGTGACCTACAGATCCCAACAATAGGTTGAAAACACAGTTTTTTTTGTTAGAGTCTAAAAGCAGACAATTCCCTACTTTTCCTGTTCGTTGATAACACATTTGTGTCTCGCAGCAGGAAGTGAACATTTAACTGTTTGTCAAATTAAGAAAAGTAGGTCGTCCCCATTATCACCTTGACTTCAGTTTTTCTCACTTTGGCTTCTTTCTTTTCCTTACTCTTGTATTTAATGTGTTTTCTTTCTCCGCTGCAGGTGCGAGCCGCTCCTCCTCCACCCAAGCAGCACCCCCGCCGACAGCAGGAGAAGAGCGACAAGACGGAGGAGGTGGAGATCACGCTGGTGTGACAGACAAACAAACTGACAGCCAGTTATAGGCGCACAAACAGAAATGAAAACAGATGAAAGGCAGATGTATCCTACAGGCTTGGGAACTGAAGTGAAGTTAAATAAAGTGATGTGAAGTAAACTGAACTGAACCACGCTGACCCCTCCCCCCGCCCCAATCTCCTGAACTCCTGGCAGCTCCGTATCTTCTCCCTTTGAGCTGAGGAGGAGGAGAGCAGAGAGAGGGGACAAAGGCAGACTATCCAATGTAATAATCTCCGTATTAGCTTCCTAATGAAGTGCAGCAGTAGCCCACACACCCCCGATCCCTTCACCCTACCCCGTCCTTTCATTCTTGCCTTAAAACCTCACCTCATTGGGCAGCAAATCACACCACGGTGAAGCAGAGGAAGAATGTCAGGAGAGGAGGAGGATGGGAAAAAGCTATTTGTGACAGATGACGGATTTGGCAAGTTTTCTGTTGTCAAGCTTTCCATAAGACCATTTATCTTTCTGCAGAAGCAGATCAGAGTCAATATTTAGATTTTTTCTCTTCCCAATAAATAATCATGAAGCACGAGAAAAGTTTTGAAGCCCCAAGAACTGACAAAATGTAGTAAAAGGTTATCAGACAAACCAAACATATAACTCAATACACTATAACTATAAAATTAGGGTGGGATGGAGGCAGATGATTGATTGTGGTGACCCCTAAAGGCAGAAGCTGACTTAAATGGCAGCCCACATGAACAGCTGATAACTTAGTATGGATCTTGTTGGCAGATATCATACTGGATGCAATATTTACGTTGCTTTAGCCTCTTTACAGTTATCACACATCTGCAAGCCACTTTGCAACCCAGCTCATGCTTTTCATGCTGTGTGTGTGATTTAATCAATGGTCAGTGTTGCTTGCAGCGTCATGTACAGGTGTTGCTTCGGCCCAAAGAAGAGAGCCCAATCTAATTCAGTGCAGATGGAAATAAACAATCTGCTTTTTGCTACTGTATTCCCGGGGGCATTAGTTTTGCTCTAGTTTTTGTTTTTAAAAAAGTCTGATTCTTATCTGATACCTTTTCCTTACCTTTTGTGAGTGTTGTGGGCCCATCCAAAGAAACCTGGCTGAAATGTAAGTAAAAACATGCCAAGTCTGTCACGTTTTTGGAGAGCAGTGGAGAACGAAGTGAACGACCAGAGAAATTGAGCGGTGTGCGTGGACGCAGCGTCCCTCTCCTTAGGCCTTCCCTCGTCATATATAGTCATTATCATCATACGTATTTAATGTGTAATAGTACAGTACATTACTGTCGTCATAGGAATGTTATGCTCAGCATTTCATATAGACTAACTCAGCTGAATGGAATACCATGTCTGATATGTAGTGGAAGTTTTATCTTCATCTTATACTGAAAGGGCATTGTAAATACAGCAGGAAGGAGAGCTCAAAGGAGGGAGAGGATGAAAGAAAACGAGAGATAAAGGAGGCTGGATCCTTCCCTCTGCTCTTAGCATCGCCTCTCTTCCCATCCCTCCTTTACGTCTCTCCCTCTTTCCTCTAAAGACGATTCTGTCCATTGGCAGTCAGTGTGAATCAGTGACTATCATATACATACATACATACACACATGCAGATACATTATACGACAGATACATTCTCTCATTCTGTGCGCCGTATGTCTGTATCACTGATTGGTTCAGAGATGCGCTGCTGGTGCTTTTAAAGGCACTCAAATTGTTGGTATTCACTATGTGGCAACAAAGAAAAGTTTTATTTCAGATGATGTAGACACAGGAAAGTATTTGTGGCCGGGACTTCTTATTAGCACAGAACTGTATAGTTTTCATCCCTCTCATGCCGATTTGTTCACTGTTCAGTTCAACTAAGACGCACGTTTACTTGACGCTCATTACATTTGCAGGTATAATTTTTCTCTCGTCTCGCCAAGCAAAGCCACCACATCTTGTGTCCTAATGCTAGAAACAGAAAACAGAAAGAGGTGTGTAAAGAAAAAAAAATCAAACTAAAGGGACAGAACTAGCAAATGACATTCAAATGGAGCTAAGTACAAATCTTTTGTGTGTGTTTTTTTTACTCAAAGTAAATAAATGCCCCCATTTCCCTTTACATGGCCATAAAGCCTTTGAAACTCCTTGCCTGAAGGGCAGCGTAGCACCTTTATTAATTTCTACCTTACTTGGAAAGTAGCAGTACCCTCATATAGCATCGGCACGGGTGGCAAAGACTCTGATGAATCGTTGTTGTTAAAATGATTCAGAGTTGTTCTTTTTAAGCTGATCCTATGGACTTTTTTTGTTTCAGTGTGACTGATGCTTAAAAAACAAACACAAATAAAGATCTCCACTCTCCCAGCTCTTCCAAAGAGGTGGAGAGACGACTGTGGACAGTGAAATTCGCTGTTCTTCTTTATTTATAAGAACAAAACAAACAAAAATTACAGAAAGCGATGCGTTTGAATGAATCATTTTCTTTTTTTGGTCTCGAAATAGGCCTGGGTGTTTATGAGTGTGATTGTTTATAAGAGAGAGAGGAGGAATTTTAATCTAATTTGTGTTTGACTCTGAAGATATGTCCCAGTTCCTCACTGCAAATGAACAAGTTTGGAGAGCGTTTGCACGGAATAAATTGCAAAGTAGAGTATTGTCCAAATTGTCGGTAGGAGATAAAACTGAACATTCAGGCAGTAATCCTCTTTCTTTGTCTCAGATAACATCCCTACTGCAAAACAAAAACAAAAGAAGAACTGTGGATAATGGAGATTAATATTAAATTTAAAACTCTTAGCATTACTATGTAGTGTTGCACTGGAGCACATCTTCAGGTCTCCTGTAAGAAAAGTCTTAATCTGGAAGCAAATCGACTGTTTTCCCCGGTGGAGGTGATTTCTAAAAGGAGAAGTAAGAAGTGAAACCACAACATTTTGTGTAGCATTCATCCTAGCAAACTTAAGCATGCTGGAATTAGTTGCATTTTTAGATACGACCCTCTGCTCTTCTGCTGTTGTACGGACTAGCATTGACTTGTGACATTGTGGTCAAGGCGACTTGGAACAGCAGCCTGTCCTTGATCTCTCTGAGATCTGATTTTTACTGGTTTTCGAACTTGTTTTGAAGTTTATGGTTTTTCAGCATCCGCAGACATTCCCGTTATACTTACTCAGTCAGTCTGTCATATATAAAATTGACATTTCATTGCCAGTTGCCACTTTGAAGACGGATTGTTTCCCATCTTTAACAGTCTCTTTGGTCCGCGACAGTGTTTAATTATTTGGTATGGTTTTTATGTTTTAAATGACACTTTATTTTTCCTTATGTGGATTCAGAGTAGCACAGCTGCCGTTATTATTAACGATGTGGTGGAACAACTGGCCTCTCTCTTTAATAGACTGTTGCCTGGGTGACAATATTGAGAACAGGTGCAAAAGTCTTTCTGCATATTATTATTGGATGTACAAAAAACGACAACAAAAAAACAAAGTTTGTATTTATTGTGTACAAATGTTAATTAATAAAAAATATGGAAAAGTTGAAAAGTTGCACACATCGATTTTTTCAGACTGAGCGTGTTTGTGTGGATGTTTGACCAAAAGTGGGTGTGATCATGATAACACGCTCCAGAGCACCCGAGGCCAAACTTCCTGAGCGGAGCTGCAGGAACATGAGACACAGCAGCAGAGACGACACAGAGCTGCTCTCCGTTTGGGACGCGCGATAAGTTCCTGCCAGGAGTTTTCCCTCCTTGTGTTTTGTTATTTGAACAGCAGCTGTTTATCAGGCATGCACACCGGAGGAAAATCCCCTTTGGATTCTGGCTTCAGCACATCTTGTGTGAAAATCTACCTGTGCTCCAACCCAGAAGGTAGGCAGTGATTCCTAATATGAAAGGCAGCTGTAACTAGGTGTGTTTTTAAAAAATACGCATGTTAGATTGTATCATGTTTTCTTGTGTCATTTGAGTTCTTGTTAAGGTGCATCCTGTTTGTGTTGTGTACAGACAGCGTGGTGGAGCGTAGAGCTCTGAGGGACAGTGTGTTCCCCAGATTCAGAGAGCACTGCAGACACTCGCTGGGACTGGATGTCAGGGTGAGCACACACTTTACTTTTTTAAAACCTTCCTGCTGCATCGAAAACATGTCAGTGAAACAGTAGATGTGAGTGTGCGTGTGGGTTGTGTTTTTCTTGGGAATTCTTTCTGTTCTTTTAAAGCCATAAACAGGCTAAGGAAGGATGTGGGCACTGTTGCTTTATACATTAAAACGAGATTACTTTAATGGCATAAATGCTCACACTAATGACTTTTAGTGCTGGGAAGAGAACTAGATATGGTCCACTGGAGGACACGTTGTAAAACTGCTTTGCTTTAAGGTTGTTTGTAATTAAATTAAAGGGTTTTTTTTTACTCTTTATAGAAAGATCCTTGAAATGTGCATCTCTTTATTAGAGAAACAAGATAGAAAACACAAAATCTTGAAGCTATAAAAGTAAAGTCTCATTAATATTCCATGTGGTCCATCACAAAGACACCCATGCGTAATGTCGCCAGCGACGGGGGGTGACAGCAGTAGCATTTTAGCTGCTTGCAGGTATTTGTACTTTTAGTCTTCCACCGTTTTCCCTGAGGCCACTGATGCAGTCAATAACGTGCCTTAATTATATCTGACAACAAAGAGAATGAGCAGCTGTGAGGCGACTGTCTGTGTTGGTTTTCGTTCATGTGTATTAAATAAACATTGGGACAGTTCAGTCAGCACATTGTGGTGTGTGCAATCAGCAGACAGAATAAAGAACGTGATGCCTCACCCCACCTTAGACGCTTGCTCTCACTGGATCTGGGCTCAGCTTTCTTGATTTATTATTTCCACTCCACATTTTTTAACTCTTGAGTGTGTTTATGTCGGCAGGTGATAGACCCGTTTGAATCCAGTGATCCCAGTCGCTGGCCAGATGAAGACACCAGGCATCAGATGATACATGAATGCAGAGGAAGCTCAGCTGGACCTTTTTTACTGGTAAATAAAGTCCTTGGGGAGAATCTCAAGTGTAAACCAACAGGATCTCAGACTGACCCTTACTTCTCAGTACAATGAATGATGACATGCTCTAAAGGACATCAGCACCTTGCCATGAGTTGTAGTCAAAGTTTTATTGTTGAATTTTATCAGTTTTTAGTATTATGAACTTTAAAAATAAAAGCTTTTCACCCTTTCTGGAGTATGCTGGACTTTGCAAAGTCATCTACACTGTGCTATGTTTGTTCTCCTTTTTAAATTAAACTTATCATCACGGCTGCAGAACAGTTCTGTCATTGAGCCGTGTCAACAAATGGACAAAATAATAGAAACACTTTCCAATATAAGTAAAAGACACAAAATCACACGTGTAGCATCACACAGTTGTCTCTTAAGCAGATGTTCTGTATAGTAATCAGCTTAATAAATTACCAGCTTACCATACTAAACAATAGTTCCCCGTGCTGTTGTTCCTCCTGTGACCACACGGTGGTGCTGCAGGCTCTGGTAGGACATCAGTATGGCACAGCCCGTGTGCCCGCTCAGGTGGAGGTGTCAGAGCTGCAGTTGCTGCTGCAGCAGTGTCAGGAGGCTGGCGTCAGTACACAGGAGCTGGAGAAAGTTTATCAGAGGGACGAGAACACCATCCCTACGACCTACTGCCTGAGAGCTCCGCACAGACGCAGCTATTCTCTGGTAATTAAAGTCGATGGTATAATTTTATGACTTTATTTTTTAATTATGAACTAGAATGTTATATAATATAAAGTAATGCGATTTCAACTTGTATTATGCATCATTTAAAATCTTATTGAGGTTTTAGAAACATCCCATCGAATCACACATTTTGTCCTTAAATCAAGTACATTGTGTTTATAGTGTATGTGAGGATGATTTATATTTATAATGCTTTAATAAACTGGATATTTTCCCTCCGCAGCAGGAAAGAAATAAGGTGAAGGAGGAAAGCAAAACCAAGACTAAAGAGGAAGAACTGAGGAAGCTGTTTCAGGCAGCTGTGAGTCTGTGTGTCCAAAGTGGCAGCATGACCCCAGAGAGGGCCAAAATCTTCTACAGATCAGGTGAAATACCCCACATAGCTGTGTGTGTGTGTGTCAAGTCATTTGTCATAATCCACTGTTGTTAGTGTCATGGGCAGCCTGCGTCTATGCCTTGGAATATCTCCTGTAGTTGGAAGCAATTTTTGTTGTGTAAGTAAACATTTGCTTTACCACTTGTCTCCAGCCCTCGATGCAGATCTGCGTTATGCTCTGGAAAGCTGTCCTGAGAGCGACATCGGCAGACGCTGCTTGGTCTATGTCCACAAGATCATCAATGCAAAAGCAGAGAGACAAAAGGGACCTGTGAAAATACAACTACAGTCAAAGTTGGAGGTAAAAGCCATGTGTAGTAGATGCACAACAGACCCGACCACGTTTCCATGTTTTTCACCATCGTGATTGACGCGGTTGCTGTACACAATCACGCAGCTGCGGCTTTCCAGTCGCCAGCCGAATATACACTCCAACAACAACAACCTTATAGCAGTCAGCACAGACTTTTAGACCCTGTAAAGTTGAGGCACACAACGATGTGTCCCACTGGTAAAGTTTCTGGGCTGCCTTTCCTCATAAAAGCCGTCCCTCAAGAGTTTCTCCATTTGAAGCAATGCATTATGAGGGATTGTAACATCTAGTCCTCATACTGAATAAGCCGGCGAGGCCTGCAGGTGCATTTGCAGACCACGCCCCGCCACACCATGTTTAATTATGGGAGAGGTCAGGAAAAGGATGAACTAAAATAAAATTTAATCTTTCTGACCACTCTTGAAACTTTATTTTACTAAAGGGATATGTAGAATTCACAATTTGTACCCTTTTTATTTAAGTCCACTGTGAAAAGTTCCCTCTTCTTTATTTCCAGGATGCCACTCTGAGTTCATCACCCACTGACGAAAAGTTACTGTCAGAGCTGTGTGAGTGCTTCCTCCCTCATCTCGTCACTTCCCGCCAACTTCTAGTCTACACCATCACCACAGAGTGCGACCGCCGCCATGGTTACACATCAGCTAGGAGGCGCGGCTATGCTGATTCTCTGTGCCAGCAGGTGTACTGTGACCTTGTGCAGATGACTGACGGTCTGAACGTTTCTCAAAGCGCAGAACCTTCTCCCCTCTGTGACGTTTTATCCCGAGAGCAGGCCGAACAGGAGCAGCTGTGTGACATCCTCAGTCAGTTTTATGACGTCATTCAGCCCGAGGAGGAAAAGGTCAGGATGGTTTTAGCCTTTACAGACTAAAATATTTACATTGACAATACAGGCACTTTTGTTCCGTGTGCAGTTAGAAATATTAAAACATGACATGTTTGTATAATTCATTTTTTCCTTATTTATACACCTGCAGCATAGCTCTGCTCTTATTGGTTGCAGGTCAGAGCCTATGTGAAGCAGAGGTACCATCAGTTCCCTCTGGTAGTGACCGGAGGCCCGTGTACAGGAAAGACGGTCCTGCTAGCACACTGCACTCAGCAGGTAGGTGGACCAAAGGGAAATTTGAAGCAGGCATATAGTGTTTATATATAATTTGTAATAAGAATTTGTGCCTTTTGTGTGCATATGTTTCACTGACGCTTAAAGCTATCTCTCTCTTTCCACAGATGAAGCACTGGCTTGCAGACAGCGATCCTGTGGTGATCAGTTTTTTCTGCAACCTATCAATTAATGCTTCACCAAAGCATCTGCTGTCGAGCTTGTGTTATCAGATATCCTGCAGATATCTCACTGACTCCTCGTCTAAGCAGAATGCTAGCCACTGCAGTGACCTGGATGATCCTGGCAGTACCACCGACCCCAGAGAGGTCACATCCAGCTGTAGCCAAACATCTGTTTTGGATTCCCAACATGAGGGCGGCACCAAAGAGCATGTTTCTGACTGCAAGCAAAGCTGGAGTACCGCTCAACATCCAGATCAAAGACAGCTGGATTTTGGCAACATAAAACCCGACGCTTGTCTGTCTGAACTTAAAGAACACCTCTCATCCCTCATCAGCCACCTGCCTTCAACTGAAAAGCCTCTTGTCCTTATTCTTGATGGATTAGATCAACTCAAAAACAACACTGGTCTTCAAATCATTGAGTGCCTTCCCAGGCCCCTTCCTCCCGCTGTCAAACTCATCGTCATAGCTTCCTCCAATCGAGAACACTTCCTGCAAGCCATAAAACTACACTATGCATCTCAGAGTGTATCAGAGGACATGTGTACAGGAAGGTTGTGTATACAGTTGGGACTGGTGGACAGGAAACAGAGCGTACAGATGCTGGCGTCTCTGCTGAAAGGTTCAAGAAGGAGGGTGACATCTGGACAACAAGCTCTGGTCAACCAGGCTCTCGCTCGCTGTTGTCTGCCGCTCTATGCTCGCCTTCTTCATGCACACACCTCGCTCTGGCGCTCTGGTATTACTAATAGAGTAAACAAAAATAC